GTCTAGATAGTCAAGTAGACAGACTAGTCTAGGAAGTCAAGAAGACAAGACAGACAGGTCTAGAAAGTCAAGTAGACAGACTGGTCTAGAAGACAAGCCCAACAAGTCGCCAAAGAATACAACCCGCCCCACACAAAAGACTGGTACAAGATCCATCATGGCCGCTATTTATAATTGGCCCCAAAACCTTTCCACACGTATCGTGTTCTACAACACAAACAGCGCAGCTACACGGAAATAACAGGTATCACCCCAACACGCTTTACATCACAAAGTCCTCTTTACCTAGGTAAACAATGTCTACACTAAAAACCGAAAACCACCAATTATTACCGCAGCTTATATTCAAACCCAACTACCCCTTTATTTTTTTTTAAACGTCGAGTCTATGACAACAATGGTGTAGAAAGAATTTAAAAACTTGCAAGGATTGTTAAGTTCTGTTTCTGCAAGAATTGTTAAGTGTTGTTCCGCACAAGGCTTTAATCCTAGATGGAAATATTATTTTTCTAACGCTAGTACCCAGATTTTTTTTTTACCACCGGCTTCTAGTTTCACCTGACTCCCGCTGGGCGCGACGCCCCGACACCCGCGACGCCCCAAAGTGTACAGATTAAATTCTAGCGTATTACAATATTTTCATAACTCCAGCCCCCAACATAGCACAGTCTCACGCAGGTAGCCCCCTTTTCACCCCGTCTGCATGTGTTACTGATCCCCCAATTTCTCTTCTTCTGTTTGGGTGGAGATTAAAAGAACGGCTACTCCGTCTGCATAGAAACGTCCTTTGAGAAACACACAATAGTCGCGCAGAAAAAAAAAGCTTCGCAGTGAAGAGCGCCCGGAGAGTACAGAAATGACAAAACGCTTTCATATTATTAATTCGCTTTAAATGCAGTAGAACCTATTTGAAATACGATACCACTTTATTTTTTTCTCATTTCATTTCTATTTATTTTGTTGTGATGTCTTTGAATAAAAGAAGATTATATGTTTTAAATAATACATCACTTCAGTTCAGTAGCTAGTCCTATTAATAGTATCAAATTTACAAAAATGTGTATAACATAAAACTCAGTCTTATCATGGTGACTTTTTTTTTTTAAAAATGAATTTTTTCTTTATTAGATAAATTCTGGTTTTCGTTAATTTTTTTTTTTTTATAAATATTGTATCTAAAAGAAAAAACAACTTTATGTTTTTAGTTTACCATGTGAAACAGTGACCGGATGGAAATCACATTTATTAGGGCCCATGTTCTACAAGTAGGCCTATACAGCTGTTACGAACAAACGAGGTTTCTACTCTGACCCCATCTAGAGAAAATTGTGTAGGGACATTAGGCTTGTATGGGCCATTGAATATGAAAAACTTAAGAGCGACAAAAAAGACAAGATGACCATTCATGGCCAAATATTAATTTAAAAAAAGAGTTCTTATTTGCATTGCACGATCGTAATAATTTCAACCCGTACAATTGAAAAAAAAAATGTATGTAAGCAAGACGGCCAAACCAATGTAATCTTATAGAAAAAATATGTAAGTAAACATGATGGCCTAACAAATATAATCTACAGTAAAGCGGCGAGTTTCCGACATTTACAAATAATTGTAATATATATTTTTTAAAAGATATCTTCATGATAGAAAAATATATGTATCAAGTTTCATTGGAGACGCAAACGAAATCTCTAGTCCTCTCCCTCGCTATTCCACACCCTGAAATATATAATGAAGATATTAGCCCCACTCTTTGGGCCCGGGTACAATGAAAACATTAGCCCCACTCTTTGGGCCCGGGTACAATGAAAACATTAGCCCCACTCTTTGGGCCCGGGTACAATAAAAATATTAGCCCCACTCTTTGGGTCCGGGTACAATGAAAACATTAGCCCCACTCTTTGGGCCCGGGTACAATGAAAATATTAGCCCCACTCTTTGCCACACTTCTGTATTACGGGGCCAATTGTTTTAATTGCACCCCACACGTCGCCCCTGATGGCAACACGGAGGGGGACCCCACGGGACAATAGCCCTAGATTGACATCACACCCAACCGAAAGCTCTACCCGCCCTTTGTGTTGCTATGGCGACCATTAGACGCCGGACCAGATTACCTCCCCCGAAACGTTACGGAAGTCAATCAGCTTTGCTTGCTCTTCCTTTTATTTCCCCTGCTGTTCTGGTGTCTCCCCGTACGTCCGCCTTCAATAACTTTTTCTCCGTGTGGACCCACTAGGTGGGTGGGACGTGCCGCACCTGTAAGGTTATCTGTGTGCTTTAAGTTTAATTAATTTGAACTTTTAATCAGTTTTTACGTTAGGTGTGATAATCTCAGTTGACGCAAGAATATATTAAAATTACAAATGGAAAATTGATTTATCAATACGAATTTAATTTGTCAATGTTCCCAAATGTTACACAGCGTCCAATAGTTAAATCACTACTCCCAGATATAATATCCCAATCCCATACCTGATATCTCACGTACATGTTCTCCCAGACTTAATATATCACGCCCAGACCCGGTATTTTACCCCAGACCTAATATCCCAATCCTAGATCTAATACCTCACTCCCAGATCTAATACCTCACTCCCAGACCTAATACCTCACTCCCAGATCTAATACCTCACTCTCAGACCTAATACCTCACTCCCAGATCTAATACCTCACTCCCAGACCTAATACCTCACTCCTAGATCTAATACCTCACTCCCAGACCTAATACCTCACTCTCAGACCTAATACCTCACTCCCAGATCTAATACCTCACTCCCAGATCTAATACCTCACTCTCAGGCCTAATACCTCACTCTCAGACCTAATACCTCACTCCCAGACCGAATACCTCACTCTCAGACCTAATACCTCACTCCAAGAACTAATACCTCACTCCAAAAACTAATACCTCACTCCCAGACCTAATACCTCACTCCCAGATCTAATACCTCACTCTCAGACCTAATACCTCACTCCAAGAACTAATACCTCACTCCAAAAACTAATACCTCACTCCCAGACCTAATACCTCAATCCAAGAACTAATACCTCACTCCAAGAACTAATACCTCACTCCCAGATCTAATACCTCACTCCCAGATGTAATACCTCACTCCCAAATCTAATACCTCACTCCTAGATCTAATACCTCACTACCAAATCTAATACCTCACTCCCAGACCTAATACCTCACTCCCAGATCTAATACCTCACTCCCAAATCTAATACCCCACTCCCAGACCTAATACCTCACTCCCAGATCTAATACCTCACTCCCAGATCTAATACCTCACTCCTAGATCTAATACCTCACTCCCAGATCTAATACCTCACTCCCAGATCTAATACCTCACTCCTAGATCTAATACCTCACTCCCAGATCTAATACCTCACTCCCAGATCTAATACCTCACTCCCAGATCTAATACCTCACTCCCAGACCTAATACCTCACTCCCAGATCTAATACCTCACTCTCAGACCTAATACCTCACTCCCAGACCTAATACCTCACTCCCAGATCTAATACCTCACTCTCAGACCTAATACCTCACTCCCAGATCTAATACCTCACTCCAAGACCTAATACCCTACGTCTTAACGCCAATCCCCCCTAAGAAGGGTCTGAGCTTTACAAATCCGAGAGATGAATATGTAAAAAGGGTATCAGATTGCCACCTGTAGCGGTGTCTAAAGAAAACGAAACCCACAAGAAAAGACAAGTTATTTTTTCGCCGCAAATTTTTTCCCCCAGCGATTGAAAGACGTTAATACCACCCGCTGCCAAGCTTTGCGTGGTGATGGAGGGTTGTCGCTGTACTGGTTGGAGGGTTGTCCCTCTGCTGGTAGTGAATTCACTCCCAGGGAAGAGGCAGGTGTAGGGTAACCGGGTGGAATCCCAAACAGAATAAAAAAATTAGTCGAAGTGTGTATGCGAGAACCAGCCCTTTGTGTGTACGACGGAGTCAGAGAAGCCACAACAATGGTCCCTCGTCTGAGGTTTTGATAGACGCATTAGCCTTGTGATTTCTGAGGCGTTATCGAGGGCTCTTGACTGATTGGCTTATGTGGAGGGGCTAATTCATGTTCAGGAGTGCGCACGTAAGAAGATTAAAGAATATGAACTTGAGAGATGATTGCTTGAGAGAGAAAAAAATATCGTAGCTGGCGACAATGGGAGGGTGCGGGTAGTCGAGGTCCCCGGGGATTGTCGCCGTGTACCCCAGAGAGGAATGCTTGTCCGCTAAGTTTTCAATACACTGCAAAGGACAGGTAATGAACTGCGGTGCACAGGCAAAACATCGTTAGGGTTTATGGCAGTCTAGGGCGCGGGGGATAATAGTTCTGCCGGGTGAGGGTGGTGATGTATTCAAAATCAGATTAGTTCCCCTGCCTGAGCCGCGAGAAAACTACCGCATGCAGTGGGGCTGTGATACGGGCTCTTGAGAGGTGAGGTGACAGAGCTATGCTGGGAGTTTCTATACATATACATATATATATATATATATATATATATATATATATATATATATATATATATATATATATATATATATATATATATATATATATATATGTAAGTATACGGGTGTGTGTGTTTATATAGATTAAAGATATACGGCACCTGTCGTTGGCTTTCGATGTAGATTTATCTACGTATATCTTGTTTAAAACAAATTGACTTTTACTTTTAGACAACTTTAACCAAAACTTCAAATAAATATAACGACTGTATGAAGATCTATTGCCGGAGTGCAATCGTTTTGTTGGTAGTGAAAATGAATACATTAATCATGACAACAATACCATTAACGTGTTTGTAACAAGTTTTTATATATCATTATCTTCTACTCCTGTATATGTGATAATTATAAATATGGATATCTCCTCCTACTGTATGTGTGCATGTTGCATGCAAGTTATTTCTATCGATATCTCCTACTGTTCGTGTTCATGTTGCTTGCAAGTTATTTCTATAAATATCTCCTCCCCCCTCAGGTGTATTGGAGGAACGGTCAGCTGGAGCCGTGCGCCGAGCTGAAGGTGAGCTCGTGGGTCCAGTCGGTGAGGTCAGCGCGAGACAGGCACGAGCAAAACGCTGAGCTCACCCACGGGGAGCGGGGTCTGTACGTGAGGACCATCCGGCAGATCCCGCGGGGTCAGGCGTTACTCCTGTGGTACGAGGATGGGCTGGCCCGGGCCATGGGCGTGCCCATACTGACCCTGTCACACATTCGAGGTAAACAAGTCAGGGTTTGGTGATGTCACAACATTAGAAAGCCAGGCTTTAGTGCTCTCACAACTTTATAAAGTCAGGCTTTAGTGATGTGACAACATTAGAAAGTCAGGGTTTAGTGCTGTCACACATTTATAGGTGAGAAAACAAATCAGTAAACTTTATAGCTGTGTCACACAATGTTCAAAATGATTGTATTTTGAACACAGTCCAATGTTTATATTTTAAACATACACCAATGAACTAATCCAACATATATCTACCCCTTCAAACTCCTCACCCACCCTATGAAACTTGCATCTACTTGCATTTCATTTGTTTCGCCATTAAATGTCACACATTTCCATCAACTATTAATGACATAGTAATATTCAAAACTAAACTACAATACTATAATTCGTATCTAGACACCATGCTAAAGAAATGAGTTACATTTAAAGAAAAATATCCAGCTATTTAATTTATAATATAATTAATATATTTAAGTGATTCACTGTGATTGTCTTAGTAATAAAACTTTTAACTGACTATGAAGAAATACGCCACCCAGATCTTGTATTATTTTATTATTTATTGTTTTTTTTCCCAGGTCACCAAAGTTACGTATGCACCGGTTGTAACACAAGATTCACACACCCCAACACACTCAAAGCACACATGTTCCTCCAGTGCCGTCACGTGTCACTGACGTCACCATCGAGCACGGACACGCTGATCCCATTCCACCAGCTGCTCCAAACTATCAGCAAAACACCCAGGGGGCGCCACTCTTGTGATAAAAAAATAGAGATGTGCGGCAAACCGGAAGTGACTACGTTAACTACGTCATTATCAACGTCCCTGAAACACATACCAAAGGCCAACACAACGGAAGACGCCTTGTCTTATAGGTCAGCGTTCAGGGCGCTGCCCTCGACGTCACGGGAAGTCAAACGAGAACAAAGCTCAGACGATTCTCTCATGACGCCAGACTCGTCCACTGACCAGCACTCGGCTCTCAATTTGTCCGTCAAAACCAGCCACAACTCGCTGTCCGCCGCCAAAGAAGATCCCAACTTCCGCTCCTGGAACATTTTCGCTGCTCAGCACATGATGGCGCCCTCCATAGCCGTCCCGTTTGAGTACTCGTCTCTGGCGGGCTGCTACCCCATCCCCTCCCACCTCCACCCCCTGGAGGTTCAGCTCCTCAACAGCCAGACCTCCATGCCCAGCCACGCCTACCACGCCCTCCTCGAGTCTAGGAACAGCTGCAGCAGCGAGTTCCAGCTGACACACCTGGACGACATGCAGGAGTGTGGTGCCCTCCCCTCCTCCAAAGCCCACACCTCCTCCATGTCGCCCGTACGGCACCTCCGCAACAGCAACCCGTACGGGTTCGCCTTGCCGTCTGATAAAGAACCCCTGGACCTGCTCCCCCAGGCGTACTTCGCCAACAAGTCCAAGAAAGGCCACCTCTGCCTGTGCTGCGGCAAGCTTTATTCTAGAAAGTACGGCCTGAAGATCCACATGCGCACACACAACGGGTACAAACCCCTCAAGTGCAAGATTTGTTCCCGACCTTTTGGTGACCCCAGTAATTTAAATAAACATGTCCGACTCCACGCCCAGGGGGAGACACCGTACAGGTGTGAGTTTTGTGGGAAAGTGTTGGTCAGGAGGCGGGACTTGGAGCGTCACGTGAGATCCCGGCATCCAATGGGATGCGTGGAGGGGGATGAGACCCTCCCGATGTGTGAGTCATCGCCGGATTCCAGCCCGCTGACCGTGACTGCGGACAGTCCGGAGCCTGTCGTGACGTCACCGCATGCTGACATCAGCAATCACAAATTATGACTTGTATTCAACTTCTAACTGAACACTTTATGACATTAGTTAAACAAAAATGTTTTGTAATATCAGCCCAGTTGTAAATCCGCCTTGATCTTTGTAAACCAAACAAGCTTTAATTGTTAATACGGGCACAAGAGCTTTAATCTACTCGCGTACCGACATACAATTTGTGTCCAGTAGTACAGGCTACTAAATGGCATTCCCTGCAAACATTTGGCAACAATATTTCTGCTGTCTGGGTGGCCAAACTCAGCTATCTAAACCACAGGCCGGGTGGCCAAACTCAGCTATCTAAAACCTCAGGCCGGGTGGCCAAACTCAGCTATCTAAACCACAGGCCGGGTGGCCAAACTCAGCTATCTAAAACATAGGCCGTGTGGCCAAACTCAGCTAGCCAAACCACAGGCCGGATGGCCAAACTCAGCTATCTAAACCACAGGCCGTGTGGCCAAACTCAGCTATCTAAACCACAGGCCGTGTGGCCAAACTCAACTAGCTAAACCACAGTTGTGTTCAATAAAAGAGACAACTTGGGCAACTGTGTACCTTGCTTCCCATCTACACAAGATGCCCAAGATATTCAATGGCATCTCTGGCTAACCCTTCGGTTCCTTTATGTCAATGACATTTAATGACAACTCTGGCATTGTATTACCTTCACTTCATTCAAATCTACACAAGATTTCAACTTCTGCTAGTCCTCGATTTGGTACAAATGTGGCCAGTTTTTTCGTCCATAATTTAAGGAAAAAACTGATGAAAAGACAACGCTTCAAAGACGTATTGTGATTTGAATACTGTGTGTAATGAAACAAAAACCTTCTTGATATTTTAACCCAAACTATTACTTTACTTGAAATACTAGTCTTACTCTTTACTACAGAAATAACATGATGTAAATTTGTAATAATTATGTATGAATGTAAACTTGAGGCAAATTAGTGACTAAATTGTCAAGAATTTGCTCATTACCTTGATGTCAGATGTTAACTGTGAGAATATGGATGGTATACAAACACTGTATGCATGCTTCTGCTCGTTTGATTTCATGCACATTAAATGTAAACAATAAACAGACATTTCTAAGTTTCTTCGGTTGTTATGTGTTATTAATGTTTACCATTTTAATCGAAATAAAATGGTCAAATAAATACAAGTAATTTTTCAACTCGAGCTAGAGGCTTGAAATTTCATGACTTCGTTATCTATGTTTTCTATGGGGGAAAAGTTTTTTTTTTTTTTTTTTTTTTTTTTTTTTTTTTTTTTTTGTTGAGAACTTGAGGAGATAATGTTTAAAAAATAAACAGTCCGGCTTTGGCAGATGTAAATGAAAGACATAATAACATAGATCTAAATGACGGATCTGAAATTTTGAACACAGATATATCTGAATGGTAGATCTGAGCGACATAGATCTGAACGGTCAACATTAGATAACTCCAATTAAAGGTGTCTGAGCACGCGCCTTGAATAAATTACTTAGAGACGGCTAAAAAATGACCTGAACCAATCTCCTGTTTGTCTAGCTAGTCCAACAACTCTGCATGTATCTTGACTGATCTGTTATGTTAGAACTCTTCAACGGTACAGGCAGTGCCGGCGCCAGGTTATTTAGCGCCCTATGCAAAACTTATTAAAAGCGCCCCCCCCCCCCCTACCGCAATTTGTTTCGTGCCCCCGGGGACAAACTTTCGATTTGCACCCCCCCAAACTTTCGATTTGTTTTTCCAACCCAGTTTGGCGCCCCCTACGGCCAGCGCCCTAGGCGACCGCCTAGTTCGCCTTATAGGTAGCGCCGGCCCTGCGTACAGGTCTCCATGTCTCCGGAGATGGTGCCAAACCGACATGAATTTTGACATCTTAACTATCTGCCTGTAGCTAACTGTCTGTAATTAGTTGCCTGTAACTATCTGCCTGTAAATAGCTGCCTGTAGCTAACTGTCTGTAATTAGTTGCCTGTAACTATCTGCCTGTAAATAGCTGCCTGTAGCTAACTGTCTGTAATTAGTTGCCTGTAACTATCTGCCTGTAAATAGCTGCCTGTAGCTAACTGTCTGTAATTAGTTGCCTGTAACTATCTGCCTGTAATTAGCTGCCTGTAGCTAGCTGCCTGTCGTTAACTGCCTGTAATTAGTTGCCTGTAACTATCTGCTACTGACGCCCACATACATTTTAAACACGCTTCCTCACATCATAAAAATAAACCCCTGTCATAGAAAAAAAAACGAAGATCCCTATCACACAAAAAAGAATCCCTCAGAAAAAAAGAATCCCTCAGAAAAAAAAGAATCCCTCAGAAAAAAAGAATCCCTAAGAAAAAAGAATCGTTAAGGAAAAAGGATCCTTATTTCAGAAAAATGGATCCCTCAGAAAAAAGAATCCCTCAGAAAAAAGAATCCCTAACGAAAAAGGATCCCTATCTCAGAAAAAATGATCCCTATCTCAGAAAAAAGGATCCCTATCTCAGAAAAAATGATCCCTATCTCAGAAAAAAGGATCCCTTAGAAAAAAGAATCCCTCAGAAAAAAAGAATCCCTCAGAAAAAAGAATCACTCAGAAAAAAGGATCCTTATCTCAGAAAAAAGGATCCCTATCTCAGAAAAAATGATCCCTATCTCAGAAAAAATTATCCCTATCTCAGAAAAAAGGATCCCTATCTCAGAAAAAAGGATCCCTATCTCAGAAAAAAGGATCCCTATCTCAGAAAAAAAGATCCCTATCTCAGAAAAAAGGATCCCTATCTCAGAAAAAAGGATCCCTATCTCAGAAATAAACCGGGAGTGATCTCCCCTAAACTTTCTCGAATATTCTTATATAAAACAACAGGGGATGGGAACTCGGGATATAGTTATGATTTTTAATCAATTTTAAATACATTAACTTTTTAAAATAAAATAGAATCTCATAGAAAAAAGTATTGCACACCAAGCGAACGCCGAATAAAGATGTTCATAATGGTGCGCAATATTATTAGTACTTTATAAATTTAGATGCGTTTTTGAGAAATCGGAAATAGCGTAAATTAGTACTCCCCGTCAACGGAAATTACTCAAAATTTAACAAAAGGTAGAGAATTAGATCTTTAACTTACATGTGAAATTTCATTTATCTATCTGAAATAGTACTCAAGTTATAGGCTTTTGAAAAATTCAAAGTAGGAAAAGTACCACTTCCGGTTATCGGAAATCGCTTAAAAGTTGATACGGATCTACGATTTTGATAAAATACTTATATATGAAATTTCATCAACCTAGCTGTAACGGTACTCAAGTTATCGTGTTTACACACGGACACACAGACAGACAGACAGACACACAGACAGACACACAGACATACGGACAAGATTGCAAAATTATGTTTTTCCGTATCAGTGAGGTGTAAAACGTCGAGATTTGTAAAAATCTCGATTTTTTTTTTTGCACGATTACAATACTTTCTCTATACTACGTATATACGAGAAAGTAAAAACCAGGATCCCTGCCAGAGCTGCAGTCAAAGACTTCACCTAAAGCCAACCATACCATGGACGACAGGGTTTCTTTCAGACATGTGGCTCTAGGGGTAGGTGTCATTTGAAACTTCTGGTTAGTGAAGTTAAACATGTTTCTACTGGTCGCCGTATGGAGGGGCGGGGGGGGGGGGGGTTCTACTGAGATCCCTGGAAGAAACCCTACAGGATGACCTCGCTAAGAACCTTTAGAAAAGTCGGTCTCTAAAGTAGTTTGGTCTGTATTTGATAAAAGATATCATTGGAAAAAAATCACAACCATTACCATCAACCCTACCACTGTATACATTTTACTTCGTTGGGGTAGATGGAGATGCTTGGAGAAAGAAAAAATCAGTAAATTCTACAGGTCAAATATTTTACCAAAGAAAAAAAAACCAACAGCAAGACATAGTTTATTTATCAAGATTTATTTCCCGTTCATCAGTTACAAAGATGTGCAACCATCATACATCTTCAAATACTGTCAATATATTTTTAAAAAGTAGGATTTTTAATTGATACCAATCTTTCATTCAACCTTTTTTTATGAATGAAATGACAAAACGTAAGGTGATACTAAAACTAGAACATTGGAAATATAAAATGTTGCTGTTAGAAATTATAAGGAAGGTTATACATTTTAAAATTATATATTTTTTTAAATTGTAGCTTTATTGAGCACTTCAGACAAGTCCACAACTTAACGGCCCAACAGCCTTATACTCACCATCTTAAGCCACATATGACCTGAGACTGGAGATTTAGATATACCGCACCACCTCCTACCATTAAAAAATGAAGAAGAGTGGCCAACTTTAAAACGCCCTTTGTTAAAAGCAAAAAAAAAGGCTTAAAATTTTTTTTCAAACACATTTGCCAGTTAAACCTGAGAAAATAAACACAAATTATTTTATTTCAAACTTCCGTACACATTGAGGCAAAAGTGTAACCTCCTGCTAATGAATATAATACCAAAGGTCAGGGGTTACATCATTTAATTATGTTAATATCACAGCCCACATTGGAGTTCAAAGAGTAAAATTAAAATAATCGTCTATAAAACAGTTTGTACAGTTTAACATCTTTGGCTGCTTAATTATAAAATTAAACTAATAAAACACGTTTTCTGTAATTGTTGTTGCGAGCTTTAAAATACAACAAATTAAAAAAAAATTATACTAGACAATTAGACCAATGTTTGTAATGTATGTACCAAATATTATTCATACCAATCAAACTTCAATCAGTTGTACTTGCCTGTACTATAAAAAGATGTATAGATATATAAATAAATTAAAATGTTAGCAGAAATTATTGGATAAAATCAAGTTGACAAAATCCTCCATTTCGTTTCATCTCATCACATACAAATATAAAGAAAAGACATTCATTCACACTTACTTTTAATTTGGTGTAATAATACTTGGCTTTCAACATACTTTATCTTACTTTATGATAGAGAACTTCACATTCTAATATACACAATTAAAACATCTGGAAGAGTAAAGGCATATTTATTGTATAAATTTCATCAAATATTTTTCGAGTACAAAAATTACATTGGCAACAAGTGTAAACAACTCTAGCAGTTTAAAATTTAAAAATCAGTGCTATTTTTAAATAAAATGGTTTTTATTGTAAATCCGGATAAATTTATAGCAAAACAAAATACAAATCTAGTGGATAATAAAATTTCCAAACTAAATTCCAATGTAAATTCCGGTATTGCTATGTAATGATTAATTTTCTTACACAAATGGGCCCTTTCTTCTTTATAAACACTAGCATAAACTGCCACTTTTAAATCAAACTTAAGATAATTAACAAACCCATAATTGAATTAATTATTTAATTGTAAATGAAATAATCTTGAGCTAATCCTGACTGCCAGCCTCTGTGTCGGCAGGTTGGTCACCATCGGCTCCACCCTCACCATCCTGCTCTGTCTCCCCCTCCTCCTCCCCTCCCACCGGCTGAACCTCACCATCATCAGCCACCCCTGCCGCACTGTCTTCCTCCTCTGGCTTCTGAAGAAAAGTTGAAGAAAAAAATATCTCTTATTACATTTATATGACCAGTATGTGAAGTTTTCTAATCTATGCAAATAAAATAAGAGCGTAAGAATATGTATTACATTTTTTTAAATTTTAACGGTGTATGTAACACATTTAAGGCACGGAATGAGTTGTATTTTAGCACTACACGTAGCAATTAATACATTTCTTGTGTCATTATCGATAGCCCACTTTTGAATTTGCCGAGCATTAACTGGTCACTGTCTTATAAAAACAGATAGATTCTACTTCATCTACTCTAAAGAGTTCTAAGTTCTAGGTAATTTACAACTTCCAAATAATTTATTATCATATAGTTTTGACTATTCCTAAAATAATGGCTACATTTCCTAATATATGTGATTCCTTAATTAATTATGATCAAGTTTTCTGTTCCATTAAATTTCCTGGAACAGATCCAACAAAATACGTTTTTTTTTTTAAAGAAAGTTGAGAAACAATTTAAAAAAAAGATGAAATTAAATAGAATTACATAAAAAATACAATTGAAATAACAATTTAAAAATCTTGCATAAGATTAACGAGAAAATAAAACAAACGAATACAATGGTAGATGTCTACTTCTATTCGGTTAGCTGCTCCTCTGAATTCAACTGGAAAAAAATAGCATTTAGAAATACGTTTTTTTTTAATCAAAATAGATTTTTTTCTGTGGACTGTTTGTTTCATTGGTACGGATTTTTATTTTATTTTCCCAGCCCCCTACTGATACCATCATTGTAGCCAGTCCGTCTACCACAGCTACCCCATCCCAAATTACACTCCCCACAATGCACCGAGCCTCCAATTTCTGCATTAACTGCACCGCTGCACCTGGACAACCCCCCCCCCCCCCCACCCCCATTACATGTCTTCAATCGTTGCAGTTTTTTTTTTTACTGCAATTGTTTTTAAAATCCTGAATATCGGGTCAGTGTTGCTACTAATTATCATTAGCTTAAGTAACGGTAATGTCGGGCAGGATCAGGGGGTCACGCGCCACTGAACAGCCCAACTCAAACCATCTTTCAACACAAACACGCATCTTTCTAGATGGGGCCAGAGCTTTCTGTTCCCACACTTCCCCACACACAATGTGAGGGTGGTACTCGTTCCCCACACACAATGTGAGGGTGGAAAACCGAGCTTAATCCCAAATGTTATAATAATATACTCGTGAGCTGCCCAACTTAGTGTGCGCGCCGTGAGCTAGATCATTCGATTAAACTTTGGTTACGTCGCCTTGTGTTCAATAGAAGAATGGGCACACAATGGACAAAAGACGTGAATGTATCAATGTAATAGTAGAAACGTAGGAAAACAAGTGGCCATGTATAGATTTAACACGGCTAAACACATCTTTCATAGATCCAGCATGCGGCCCGACCTTAGTCCCACATACAGCACCATACATACTGAATATCAGTCCAACATACAGCATCATACATACTGAATAAGACAGCATCTGACATACATAAGTCATTCAGCATAAGATGTGAGACAAAAGTTTGTCAGATATTGAGCATTCAGCCTAGTGCCGTGAGATTAACTACAGCACCCAACATAGAACATCAGACACAGTCATCACAAACAGCATGTGGTAGGCTACAGTATCAAGTACAGCCTCAGTCAAACATGCAGCATGACTTTAACCTCTGTCAAACATACAGCATCATGCAGCATGACTTAAACTGTCAAACAAAGGCTCCAACATGAGGTAAGATCCCAGCGACCTTACAGCCGTTTAACAATCTAGAAAACTCCCCAAGAAAACTCACCAGGCCGTAAAAAAACGAAACATATTCTTTCATTCTCGCCCGCTTTCTCTAATGAATATTCACTACAATGTCCTTGCGTCACAGCGACCCCCCCCCCTCCCCCACCCCTCCTGCGAGGTTCTTAAGATAATGTTATTTATGCTAACGAGCAGGCCAGTAATGAAAAACACTCAAGTGAGACCAGATTACTGCGCCCTTTGTTGGTCAAACAGCCGCCGATTATATAACCCAACAGCGAGGCACCCAGGGGTGCAAACCTTCGAGGGGAGATGGAGGGGTACTCGTCAGGCATGACACCGGGGGCGGCTTGTGTTTTCTTAATCTCACCCCACCCCCTCCCCCCTCCCAGCGGCCAAGCAAATCGTCAACCCAGATCTCTTTCAGCGTGTTTCTCCTCCTATGAATACAAGGCAGGCAGCAAACCGCCCCGCTCTAGTGTTTGATTGTGTCGTAGCAAGTCTACACTCCAGAGCTTGTCGAGGGGGGCTAACTCGTCACTTCTGCAGCCACGGAAGTAGCTCAATGGCCGCTACCTTGTGGCCCTTCACCAGGCCCCAAAGAGGCCGCTTATTCTTCTTTTCTTCTCCCCACAGAATGGGAGATGGTCCTGGGTGACGCAGGGGCGGGGGCTAATTTAAACATGTGGCGGTTATTGTAACTGATTTCGCACGCAAGCGGACAAAAAGCGCATTGAAAGTTGGAGGGTGATTAAACCATGATTAGCTTGTAGGAGATGACGCAAACACGTGTCAGCGCGCGCCGGGAAAGAAAGTCATCCGGCGCGAGGAGACTGATGGAGGCCATTGAGGGAGGCTGCGTCGAGGGTGCACTAGCCCCGTAGTTCCCACAAGAAATCCCCTCACCTGTTGTACGACCCATTGGGATTATGAATATTTATGGCTGTTTAAGTCATTTTGTTGCTCGAAATTTTTGTCTCTTTTCTAATTTATCGTTAAGGGGACGTAACTACAATCGGGCATTGGTGTCGAGGGGAGACAACGACAATCAGACATTTGTCTTAGTGTCACCTTGAAAAGCACAACAATCATGCGCGCTGCCTTTATACTTTCATCAAACTTTTGTCAAGTAAAAACTTGAGATCAATTCATAAAAAAACACGTTTACTTTCAATACCTGGCCGTCTTTTCTGCATTAAAGCATGTTAATAAGACCGGAACGGATTTCTGCTAATGTGGTAATTTGCTAAGTTACGGAGGAAAAAATACGTTTTTTTTTTCTCTCGTTTGTAATGTTCTCTGACTAATGTATTTTTGTAGCGACATTCAGTTTCCATCAGTTCTGTTTTTATGAGTTGTATTGGAAATATTAGAGTGCATGAATAAATTAATTAACAATTAGGAGGCGATTGTTCGCTGACGGCTAGGCGGCCGTAAATCTGCTTTGTTTAGACAAATGCACCCAGTAGGGAGGGGGGGGGGGGGGGCGCGTTAGGTATTGATTAAGGGCGACTGTTGTATGCGCGGTTATTAGTTAGGTCGATCGTTAGGGCTTGGGTTAAGTGGTTTAAAGGGATCTGATGGCTGGAGTCGAGTCGCGATGATACAGCCTAGAACCCGAGGGTTAGGGTTCGAATACACCTCGTGCTGGGAAAGTAGAACCTTGTCATCAACATCTAACTTGGTGAAGTTACATTATAAATCTTTTTGAAAGTAAAATGACAATAAGAGACTTCTTTGTGTGGTTCACGGAATTCCCGTTTGTGCACAAGACACATGGGGCAGATGAAGTATCGTTCACAAAGATAAGTTTACAACAAATCTTTAAGATAAGATGGCCAGACAAAATGTCAAATAAAGACCTGTGGCAAAACGAAAACAACAGCCAATAGACAGGGACAGTAGCCCGCTAATGGTGATGGATTGGGCATGCTCTGAGAAGAGGGTAGCGTCTGGAGGCAAGTGATAGACTAGAATCCCCAGGGGGAGGGTAAGTAGGCTGGTCAAGGCTATCCTGTGGTGGGGCTGCCGGGGCTTACATGGGCGTAAATAAAGAGAGCTAGAGAGTCCAGTGGAGAGGAGGGGCTGCAGTGACTTACATGGGGGCAAATAAAGAGAGCTACAGAGTCCAGTGGAGAGGTGGATGCTGCAGCCCTCTGCTCCCAATGAATAAGTCAACTGACCTCCAAATATCTAGTTAGAACTACAAATAATACTAATGACGTTAAAATTTAATAGTTTGCCTCCAGTCATAAGAGAAGGCATACATATGTCATGATTTGCCAATGGTTGACATATGTATGTCATGATTTGCCCATGATTATTTGTATAATGTTTAGAGATCGTAATTGAAAGAAAAAATCTGAGTCTACACAGTTTCAAAGAAAAATGTGAGAACAGGGTACGTTAGTTTACAAACTGAAACATTTTTAGGCTAGCCTCATCAGCTAAAAGACTGGCAACTAGTCGTATTAATGTGTAGCCTATCTAAGCTACTCCTGTGTGTTCATAAGATCATAGCAAATACCAACATGATTATGGAACACTAAACAATTCATCTAACTAGAATGTGACAGATAGATATTTAACTACAAGTTTTAAGGTGACTAGGCCATGCTAAACTTAGCATCTTTGATGGTGACTAATCCAAAACAAACTAAACAAACTGGAATGGGGCTTATGTCAAACTCACTAAATTGGAAGGTGACTACTCCATGCTACACTAACCCAATTGGAAGGTGACTAATCTATGCTACACTAACCCAATTGGAAGGTGACTAATCTATGCTACACTAACCCAATTGGATGGTGACTAATCCATGCTACACTAACCCAATAGGAAGTTGGCTAATCCATGCTACACTAACCCAATAGGAAGGTGACTAATCCATGCTACACTAACCCAATAGGAAGGTGACTAATCCATGCTACACTAACCCAATAGGAAGGTGACTAATCTATGCTAAACTCACAATATTGGAAGTTGACATCTCCAGCTCCTGTGTTTTATCCTGCAGTGTAACTTCTTCCTTGACTTCTGGCTCCTTGTCCAGCTGCTTGTAGACCTCTATCCTGCGGGTCACCAGCTCACATATAATGCCATCCAAGACCAGACGTCCACGCTCTGACCTGTCCAGCTCGGCCGTGACCTGATCCATCAGCCAGGGCATGAAGCCTTGCTCCACATCTAGAGGGAAACATCAACAGAGGGAAACATCAATAGAGGGAAACATCAATAGAGGGAAACATCAACAGAGGGAGACATCAATAGAGGGAAACATCAACAGAGGGAAACATCAATAGAGGGAAACATCAATAGAGGGAGACATCAATAGAGGGAAACATCAATAGAGGGAAACATCAATAGAGGGAAACATCAATAGAGGGAAACATCAATAGAGGGAAACATCAATAGAGGGAAACATCAATAGAGGGAGACATCAACAGAGGGAAACATCAATAGAGGGAATAATCAATAGATGGAAACATCAATAGAGGGAAACATCAATAGAGGGAGACATCAATAGAGGGAAACATCAACAGAGGGAAACATCAATAGAGGGAAACATCAATAGAGGGAGACATCAATAGAGGGAAACATCAATAGAGGGAAACATCAATAGAGGGAAACATCAATAGAGGGAAACATCAATAGAGGGAAACATCAATAGAGGGAAACATCAATAGAGGGAGACATCAACAGAGGGAAACATCAATAGAGGGAATAATCAATAGATGGAAACATCAATAGAGGGAAACATCAATAGAGGGAGACATCAACAGAGGGAGACATCAACAGACGGAAACATTAATAGAGGGAAACATCAGTAGAGGGAAACATCAATAGAGGGAAACATCAATAGAGGGAAACATCAGTAGAGGGAAACATCAGTAGAGGGAAACATACATCAATAGAGGGAAACATACATCAATAGAGGGAACCATCAGAGGGAAACATCAATAGAGGGAAACATCAATAGTGGGAAACATCAATAGAGGGAAACAATAGAGGGAAACATCAGTAGAGGGAAACATCAATAGAGGGAAACATCAGAGGGAAACATCAAATACATTTTTCAAAAGTAGTTGTGCAAGGTAATGTAGGGAAACTGTAGGGACTGCCTTCTGAACCAATCTAAGAACGAAGTGAAAGTATAGCTCCCCTTCCAAACCTGATGGTCTATGGGGCAAGTGAAGTAGAGTTCACATATTTCTGAGACCTTGGAATATGAATGGATACTGTGATCAGCACTATGCCCAGAGCTGGGTGGACTCAGAGACGGTCTACTAACTTGAACCGGAATTCAAACTTGAGACTTACGGGTTGGCAGTCTAGCTCTCTACTGCTAGGCCACTCTGTCCTCTAATCCAAGACTACATTTTTTACAAAATCTGGCAAATGTGACTACATCCCTCATGGGAATTTTAAAATGTAAATTGAAAAATTAATAGGTGGGGGAAAAGTAGTGTTACATTTTGAAATTACAAAGACTGCTTCCACTCCACTAACTCTTGAAGATTCCCGTAACCTAATGGTCCATTACTCACCTCTCTCGACTGGATCATAGAAGTAGCCATTATCAGACAAAGTGCCAAACACTGAGGGCACCAGATCTGCCAGATAACTCTGAGCGAAAGCACGAGCAGCAATTTTCTCTGCTGTTTCTTTTTCTTTCCTTAAGACTTCTCTCTGTTGTTTCATTCGCCTCTCCTACAACACAAAAAATCATACATGTTTTTAGCAATAAGAAAAACCACCATAAATAGACTAGTTACTTTAGTAGTGAGCAAAAATTTTACCAAGTTAGTTTTCTGACAAAGGGAAACAACACATAAAATAAACAAGAGTACAGAAACGAAATTGCCTCCCTTGAGTATACCTTTTCTTCCCTGTGACGTCTTTCTTGCTCCTCCAGCCTCTGTTGCTCCACAAGTTCAGCATTTCTCAGCTCCTCAAAGGCACGTTGTTGCTGTCTGAGGTTAGCCAACTCCTCTTCTTCCATTACCTCCAGCAGGGCCTGCTCAACTGTCTTTCCAACAAGGACCTCTAATATTGGCTTGACTTCACAGTCGAAATCGAAAAGCTGTTGATAGAGTTTATACATAGTATTTTTAAAATGCTTACTAATTAGTGGACTGGTTTTTTCTACAGATAGACTACAGTATTGAAAGATTAATGCATAATGCTAGTTTGGTTATACACTATTGTATTTTTAACTAGATGACATAATTTTATGTAACAGCTTATTTAAAGTTATTTCTAGATTAAAATCCGTATTTTACTTACAAAATTTATGAATCTATTAAAAAATACTTGTATTTATTATTAGAATATTTAAAAAGTTCATTGCATTTTCTCTTACTAACTGCCAGTTAAATAATTAACAGTAAGGCTGTAAAATAATGAAACATAAGGTTCTTTTTTTCTTACAATATCAGCAAAATGAATAACGAAAGATAACATGTTCTCACATCGCCATCATATATCTGTGTGGCTACGTCTAGACCTGTCTTGGCAGGGATGAACATGGGTGAGGGCGGGCGGTCAAGGAAAGCATCTGTCTGACATTCTTGGTCAGCTTCTTCCACCCGGTCACTCAACTCTTCAAGGTACAGCTCAGTTTGGACATCGATGTGTTTGCGGCCCTCCACCGGATCTGGCGACCTTGGCCTCAGCTGATCTTTGGCACGTTTCCTTGCTATTGCCCTGCGCCTGTTCTCTTGAAGCCGCTGTAGCTCAAGAGGGTCGGGCTGGGCAGTCTGCCAAACATAATGAGAAAGTTATATTTTGTCTTATTCAAGGTTAAAGGTTGTGTGATGTTTTAACACTACACACACATAATTAACTTGGTCTAAAATGAAGTTAAACCAACTTTTGGGAGACATGAAACAAATGCAACAACAATGTTGATACTTGTAAAGTTGAGCATAACTTTTTTGTTGTTAATGAGTTAATTGCTGTTAAATGCTTTGTAAAGTAATACTAAAGACATTTTTGTACTGTAAAGCATTTACTTGTATATAAAGTGTAACTTTATTTTTGTCAGCATTACTGATGTGTTTGTAAAGTGAAGCATTACTGATGTGTTTGTAAAGTGAAGCATTATTGATGTGTTTGTAAAGTGAAACATTACTGATGTGTTTGTAAAGTGAAGCATTACTGATGTGTTTGTAAAGTGAAGCATTACTGATGTTTTTGTAAAGTAAAGCATTATTGATGTGTTTGTAAAGTGAAGCATTACTGATGTGTTTGTAAAGTGAAGCATTATTGATGTGTTTGTAAAGTGAAACATTACTGATGTGTTTGTAAAGTGAAGCATTACTGATGTGTTTGTAAAGTGAAGCATTACTGATGTTTTTGTAAAGTAAAGCATTATTGATGTGTTTGTAAAGTGAAGCATTACTGATGTGTTTGTAAAGTGAAACATTACTGATGTGTTTGTAAAGTGAAGCATTATTGATGTGTTTGTAAAGTGAAGCATTACTGATGTGTTTGTAAAGTGAAACATTACTGATGTGTTTGTAAAGTGAAGCATTATTGATGTGTTTGTAAAGTGAAGCATTACTGATGTGTTTGTAAAGTGAAACATTACTGATGTGTTTGTAAAGTGAAGCATTATTGATGTGTTTGTAAAGTGAAGCATTACTGATGTGTTTGTAAAGTAAACCATTACTGTTGTGTTTGTAAAGTGAAGCATTACTGATGTGTTTGTAAAGTGAAACATTACTGATGTGTTTGTAAAGTGAAGCATTATTGATGTGTTTGTAAAGTGAAGCATTACTGATGTGTTTGTAAAGTGAAACATTACTGATGTGTTTGTAAAGTGAAGCATTATTGATGTGTTTGTAAAGTGAAGCATTATTGATGTGTTTGTAAAGTGAAGCATTACTGATGTGTTTGTAAAGTGAAACATTACTGATGTGTTTGTAAAGTGAAGCATTATTGATGTGTTTGTAAAGTGAAGCATTACTGATGTGTTTGTAAAGTAAACCATTACTGTTGTGTTTGTAAAGTGAAGCATTACTGATGTGTTTGTAAAGTGAAACATTACTGATGTGTTTGTAAAGTGAAGCATTATTGATGTGTTTGTAAAGTGAAGCATTACTGATGTGTTTGTAAAGTGAAACATTACTGATGTGTTTGTAAAGTGAAGCATTATTGATGTGTTTGTAAAGTGAAGCATTACTGATGTGTTTGTAAAGTAAACCATTACTGTTGTGTTTGTAAAGTGAAACATTACTGATGTGTTTGTAAAGTAAAGCATTACTGATGTGTTTGTAAAGTAAAGCATTACTGATGTGTTTGTAAAGTGAAACCTACCGCAGGCAGTGTGTGCTGGGCATAGGTATTACCACGAACCACTCTCCTGTCATACATAATGTTGCCATATTGTATCGGACCATCTCTAAAAAAGAAAAAATACATTTTTAAACAAGTGGCATGGTGTACTTAATGTAGTGGATCTTTAAGATACTAATAACTTTATGTATTTTTAATTCGTAAATGTTTCCAGTGGCTTGGCTCCAGGTGAGGCTATAAAATACAGTTTTGTCAAACATGAGATCCAGTTTGTGTTTAAGACAAATAGGATGCCATGTGTATAGGACTGTTCTTTTATTGGGTACAAATAATTATGAATTCAACATAGAATAAGTATATAAGACAAATAGGATGCCATGTGTATAGGACTGTTCTTTTATTGGGTACAAATAATTATGAATTCAACATAGAATAAGTATATAAGACAAATAGGATGCCATGTGTATAGGACTGTTCTTTTATTGGGTACAAATAATTATGAATTCAACATAGAATAAAAGTATATAAAGAAAATTTATTTAAAATATCAGATAAAAATTCAAAATTTTCAAATTCAAAAGAACAAAGTCAAATTAGAAATTGTAACACTTTCAACTCACCCACACTGGCAATGACGCCTATACGTCATGAAAAAATTAAAAAATACTTAGTTGCTTATGTTATATAGATCTAAGTTTCTAAGGGATCAAATTATTATTTTCCAATTTTGTTCTAAATCAATTAGATTAGTTTAAAATGGGTTAAAATTTAATTCGTTTTACAATGATTGTCCACCAACCAACAGAAAAACATTGTGATCTAAGTCTAGTAAAAGCTTGATAAAATATAGAGTGAGAGTGTGATATTTGAATGATTTAAAGTTAAGTACTAAAGTAAGTACTAACTTAGTTAGTTAAAAAAGTCCTGTTAAAGTAGCTACAGGACTTGGCTGTCGATATGAGACTAAAGTGCTTTAGCACAGAATGACAAGAAGAGAAATAGATCCCTAGTTCTACTAGATTTGTTACTTCTTTAGAATTTAGTGGGTTTTTTTTTCTATTTTTTCTTTTAGACTTACGGGTTTTGAGATGCCGCTCCAGAATTAGGATCTCTGTACTTTTTTCTCTGTGGTACGGCTCTTGGCTGACTTGCGAAAGTGTATGTCCCTTCAGGCTTTTGTGGAAGGACGGTAGTCATTTTGGTTTTATCTTTGATTGATCAGCAACAACGATAACTGTCAATCCTATCGAAAAAGTTTCGCCTTGGTGGAGAAAGGCAGCTTCCCGAGCTCAAAATATTTACGTCTACGTTGTGCTTAGCAACGCCGCCATTATGCAGTACTGCAGCAAATACAGATCTAGAAGTACAGATCTAAACTCATCCCTCCCCTTCACTTCCCAGGTCAAACATTTTAATCAATCTTATTGTTTTTTCCTCATTTTATGATTTGTATCTGACTTTTTATCTACCGTTGTATTTGTTTTGATATGTTATACCTGGAAAAGTACAGTAGGCCCATGTCAGATAAATTTTCCCATTAAAATCCAATTTTATAGACTAATCAATATATACTATTATATACTTCTGGTTAATAAAATTTGATCATATTTTTTTTTACCGACAAAGACATTTAGTTGAGCTTTTTAAAATAATATGTTGTTTATTTCAACAACAAACAATTATAGGACTTTGTAAATCGCCCTTATTCGATGCCATATGAACGTCAGGTGCGCAGTAATTGATCCTTAAATCCTTATTATTTTTGTTGTTGTTCAGAGCTATAATATTGGTACTGTAACCATAATAAAATTAATTTAAATAATTTAGATCAATTATCTGAATTTTAACTTATTAAAAAAGGTATTTTATTAAACGTACGAACTAAGTTTTAATTTGTAATCCGAAATTAGTTCGCGGAGCTCAACAGAGTTGTCTAGCTTTGGATTATTTATAACACCATGACCTTCTACCTTTTGCCCTATAAAAGAAGTAACTGTAACGTCGTAGGCCTAACCTGTGTAATGTGTAACGTCTAAGAAGTATTTATGAAGTAGTGTAAGCAAGTGACAAAGTGTAACTTTAAATTCGGTGAAATTGAAACATAAATCGTCGTATCTCTTAAACGCACAGAGCAAGATTATCAACAGAAGGTTATTAATTTTAATTTAATAGCCTATATTTTTATTTCATGAATTAGTTTAGAATTACGATGAAATGTTTTCGACTTCTTAAAGTTAATTACTCAAATTAGATCTACTTAATAATATTAATAATGACTTGACTATTGACTTAGGCCTATTAATTAATTTAATATATTTACTATTTACTTAATAATCCTTATTCTAACTTTAATATTCGACTAACTAGCCCTTAGTTAGTAATTATAGGCCCCTACTAACCTTAATCAAATCTTGTCTCTTAGGCTTAAGAAAAATATTGAGATCTTATTCTTAAATGTCCTAATCTAGAATCTAGATTCTAGATGGACAGACACTATTCACTATTCTAGACTTGATCTATCTAGAATCTAGACCTAGTTGAGTCTAGCCAGTCTAGTCTAAACTAAAGTTTACCAAAGTCTTGTAATCTATAATAATAGGCCGATGCTAGCCGGAAAACGATATGCATGCGCAATGGAGAGAGACTACGACTTGCCTTTGCGGCAATGTTTTCGATGGTACTGCGCATGCGTGTGTTTACAACCGCAGAACCCTAATCCTAGCCCTATCCCTAATCCTATCCCTAACCCTAGTTATAGGTCATTGCGCATGTGCAGAACTATCTTTTGCAGACTAGGTGGAGAGGTTAGGGCGAAAAATCTTTTTCCGAGTAGTCACTTCGATAATAATATTATATTAATAAGCGAGTCTTACATCACTCACTTATGAAGTAGTGTAAGCAAGTGGGGGGGGGGGGCTTTGCCCCTACCCAAAGAGATACATGAAAGAAACTCTGCAAGCAAAACACTTTTAAGATTAGACACATGAATTAGGCAGAAATGTTGGTGTTTTAATTATAGTGTATCAATGACATAATTTATTTTGAGGGGGGGCAGCTTAGATATTCTTCTGGGGGGGGGGGGCGGCTTCGCCCCTACCCGAAGAGATGCATGAAAAAAATGAAAGAAACTCTGCATGCAAACCACTTTTAAGATTAGACAAAATTGGCTTTTTAAATTCAATGTTTACTCAAGAATCATTGACGTCATATTATTGTGTGTACTTTCCCAGTTTTAGAATCTTTCCTACTATAATATGTTCCATGTGACGTCACGTTTCATTTTCCTCATTACTGTGAATGTTTTAACTTTTCAAGTGTTTTCTCTATAGCGTTCCCAACAGATAGACAGACAGACAGATAGATAGATATACACAGACAGCAAAACTATTATTATAGATTAGATCTCTATTGTTACAAAATGTATTGATGGCATTTATAATCATTATATGATTAGGCCCATAGCCTATAGGCCTACTTAATTATTATTTAGAATATGAATCTCTAGACTAAACCAGTTATTTAGACAAGTCATGATCATAATTAGTGTTGTGACACATATTTTTTTATATTTTGAGCAGAAGATAAAATGCTGCACTTGCACATTTCTACTTCTATGTGCCTAAATCTAGTAGTACAGATCTAAACAGTAGGTCTTAACCTTTATTAAATTATGGAGGTACTGAATCCTAATAATTTCATATGCACAATCACCGGACCCTTCTAAAAAATCTTAATTATAGTTCTATTGTCTGTACTAACGAAATCCAGTCGCAAATTATGTGTTAGTTGTGTGTTTAGTAGGTACACTTACTGAGACTTACTCAACTATAAGGCCTACCTATTGTTTCTGGGTTTTTTTTAATGAGCTCTGCTGTTTACAGGTCTGAATGTAGGCCTATATTTTTTAAATGTTTTATATTATGGGGTAGAGTTACTACCCCTATGCCCAACCCTTTTTCTTTATCCATGCTGAGGACTGTCAAGATATTCACATAGTTTTATCTAGGTGAAGTTCATATAGGCCTAGCTGTGTGTCAATTCATGAAAAATTTGTTGTCATCAAAAACTCAAAACAAAATTATTAATTCATTAATAATTTGGGTTGTTTTCCTTCAGGGTCTTGAGTACATTGTAAAATTATTTAAAATTCAAAATATTATGGTCACAATATACTTTATATTTATTATCCATTGATAGTTGGGGACAATTTCAATATTTAAAGAAATTGATGGTTTTGATAAGACAAATCTACAATAGATTGGCATGCATTCTGATTTTTCTTATTCACAGATTCACTAAAACATGTCAGCCAGAAAAGTCACTTGTGCCTTATTGCCTAAATTATTTTCACCTAGACCATTGTGTTGTTCATCTCAGTCATGGTCAAGATTAAAAGCAAACAATTACACAATGAAAGAAAAAAGATTTTGTTCATCTGTACCAAAGCCACAAAAAGATAGGTAGGTATTAGTGTTCTAAAGTTTGAAAGAAGAATTTGTTTCTGACTATACATATTCAGTATTTTTTAAATAACAGATTGTATTCTGATGATACTGGTTGGTCTAGCTTTCTGTGATTAGACTACAAAAGTGCAGCATGACTTTCTGTAATGACTTGGTATGACAATCCGATAACTATTGAATTTTACAACCAGAGGTCTACAGAAAATCTGACAAACTAGGCATTTGTTGTATATTCCCTCAACCATTGTCTTTCAGTGTCACAGTAATATTTATTGATCGTGATGGAGACAGAATAACAACCAAAGCTGTGGTTGGTGAGTCTTTGCTCACTACAGCCATAAATAATGATGTGGAGTTGGAAGGTAGCATTAGCAGTTTGTTTTATCTTGTACACTAATCTTTAACAAATTACTGCTTTTTATCTCATTTTGAATCTGATATATTTTACTGAGATAAAACAATTATTCTATTTTATTTTTGAATTCGTGGTATGCAAAAAAGTTTTAAAAAGCAGAATTTGTTAGGGATATGTTGTGTACCTGGGTTATGATATGTTGTTTTACCTCCCTTTTAATGGTATCCGTTTCAGAGTGAAAGTGACTTTTATATTGCGTGATGGTCAGAGACAGGATGTCAAGGCTAAAGTGGGCGACAACTTATTGGACATCATAGTTGAAAATAATGTGGATATAGATGGTTTTGGTCAGTTGTTATTTGTAATCAAATTTTGACAAATTGTATGAGCTAAAAAATCTTTTTTTAAACACTATTCACTCTGATATGAATACTCATGTTAACTTGATGTTGTTGTGGAAATATATTTCTTAATTACTAAAAAGAATATTTTCAGAAAACCAGGGTTAGATTGTCTGCAATCTGTTACATACTGATTGTGTTATTGTGTTTTTTATTTTAAAAAAACATCAATAAATGTTTGCAAGTTTAAAATATTAGGCTCAAGTCCTTTTGAAGGACCTTTAAATGGTTAAAAAAAAAAGAGCCCCTCCAAGCCTGTTAGCCACATGTCAGATAAGGTAGAGTTCACGTTGTTCCTTGACCTCTGCTTAGGCAGATTGTATGGTTAGCACTATGCCCAGCCATTTTGTTTTCACTAACTCAAACTGAAGTCAAGTGCCCATCAGAATCTTTTAAGAATTAAATTTTTAAATTATATTTTAATTTTAACACAGGAACTCAAAAAAGACAAAAGGTGTTGGGTTATTAAATTAGGATATAATTTTATAAAATCAAGTAGTACCCAACTACCTCATGTCATGAAAATATGTCCTGATGTTTGACTCAAATAAGTGGCTGAGGATTGGGTTTTGTACAGTGTAAAGTGTTAACAGTGACTTACTCCCAACTTCCACAAATCCCATAACTTCAGGGTAACTGCAAGTATATGTGACTGACTCCTATATCAATTCCCATAACTTAGGGTAACCTCAACTCACATTCGGATTATAAACACGTCCAATGCTTTCGTAATAAAAAAAAACTTAAGTATTCTATGACAAACAAGCATACTCTTATAATACTGAGTTCCATGCAACTTCCTTGTTTAATAATCTCCTTGAAATATTTCATTAACTAATTCTAAAGGTCATGGCCTTTGGGGCTCTGATCATTACAACCAGCTTAAAAAAATCAATAACTTGGTGTGATGTCAGTGGAATGTTGTGTCCCCAGGTGCTTGTGAGGGAACCCTGGCCTGCTCCACCTGCCATCTGATTTTCAAGCCAGATGATTACAAGAAAATACCTGATAAGCCCACTGATGAGGAGCTGGACATGCTGGACTTGGCCTATGGCCTCACAGACACGTACGTCATTCCCTACGCCCACACTTCCGTCATGACACCCACACTTCCGTCATGACACCCACACGTTTTCACATTTTTTTAAAACTAAATGTAGGATTATTATGAGAGTGTTCTCCGTTATCAGTGTCAAGGGTAGGATTAGGGCTAATGTTGGGGCAGTAGCATTATAAGATGTTGGGGAGGGGTGCTGACTGCATGGTGGGGATAAAATGGAACATTTATAATGCTGCTTGAAAACCTTTTATGTCAAATTAATTCAGTAGCACTAAACTGTTAAACATTTTAGAGCTCAGAGTGGTAGCACATGGGGAGGGGATGACACCATATTGCCTCTAGTTTCAAGCACAAACCAAGCTTATATATGAATAGAGTTGGTATCCTAAGTCTCCCAGCTTAGTGGTGCCACTGCTGCCAGGATAGCAGTACTGGCAAAACTGTTGTCTCAAGCACATTATGCAAGGTTTTAATATGCATAATGCTCCAAAACAAATAGGAAATATAAACAAATCTAAAAAACTTGTGTCATTAATAAGTCATAAATTTCTTTAATATTTTATAAATAAATAAATAATACAGTTGAGATGCCAATATGTTGAATATTTTCTACTCTCTAATCCAGGTCCCGATTGGGCTGCCAGGTTATTGTCACCAAAGATATGGATGGTTTAGAGATTATGGTTCCAAAAGGAGTGGCAGATGCCAGAGGTGGCTCATAATAACTGACCTCATCAGCTGGACCATGCAACATCACTACTTCTGTATAAGATAGTCACTCAACAAGTCTTGGCTTGATCTTATTAAAACCTATTCATCACCAAATTACTCTTTAAAAATTCTATCTATAACTTTAACTGTTTACTAGTTCCATGATATCTTGGTGGCAGTTGATCTGTTTATATATTATGCCTTCTATTGAAGCACTCAGTCCAGATAATGAAATAAAGAATAACATTATCTAAGACATTATTAACTTGCACTTTTTAACTTTATTCATTACTGTATTTTGGACGTGTTCTTATGATATAAATACAGAGTAAACAAAGGCAATATATTTTTTGAAGTGTTTTTTAACAGAAGCAGAAGTAGATGACAGTTTGCAATAATTAAAATAGAAACATTTGACTCTTGTTGCTGTAAGATAATCTTTGAATTTGGTTACTTTGTGTTTAGTTTCAGAGTGATTTGACATCATAGTTAAGTCATGGGAATAGTTTTCTATACTAGACCACCAACAATTCTTTTATAATGGCTGTATGAAGCAGTATTTGTGTAATAGTTTAAAAAGTTTTATTTTTTAAAACTGGATGAATATGATGTTAAAATATTATTTTAACCACATCAGATGTGATTTAAGTCTACTGCTAAAAGTTTATAACTGTCCATTAAAATTCAATGGATGATTAAATTAAATCCTATTTTGATTTTACTCTTTTCCAAGTGTGGATGTCATATTTTTATCAGATGTACATGTCCTACTTATGGGTAACTGGTGTACAAATATTGATCACAGATTTTTAAAATGCATTTCTTTTTTTTTCTAGAATAACCAATCACAGATCTTTTCTCTTGATGTTGATATCTTTGTTACTTTAACTCATTCATATATTGTATCAGTGTTTCTCATTGGCCTGCTGTGTCTGGCCACATGAATCTGTTGTCATATTTCATCCATTCATACAGTCACTAAAGTCCAACTAGCAATAGTCTGGAGTTGTGTATGGGTCAACTCTGTGAATAAAATAAAGATAAATACAAAGTAAAAAAATTAATATGGACTGCAGTAACATATAATGATATGTAAGCTTTAAATTTAAAAGTTAATCTGTTTTACATTTTTTTTTAAATTTTATTTACTTTTTTATACTCCCCACCTTCCTCCACAATTGATGCTTGCAGAGCAAAGAGAAACAAATAATTTCACTATATAACAAGATTTTTTTTAATGTATTAGATTTCTCTAGAACAGGGGTTGGCAACCTACAGCTCTAGGATGTAGCTCGCCAGTTCCATAATAAATATATTATTTTCATAACATAAAAATATTATACTGTAAAAAAAAAATTAAACAAGATAAAAACAATGAGAATAGGTGGAGTAGAGCCTGTAGTTATATAATTTGATTTTATTATCCTAGCAGAGCTAGCTAAAATACTATTATGTTTGGTGAAAAAACATGTGTATGTTTTATATATGAATAAATATTATTTCATACTTAAACCCATTTATTTTAAATCTATTTACCTAATATTAATCAAATACCATAATGCTGAAAAAAATATTGAAAACTGGAACATTTTGTAAATTTTAATTTTTGGCTCTTCCGCCTCAAAAGGTTGCCGACCTCTGCTCTAGAAGATTAAATGTTTTCCTTGTTTTAGGACACAAGATTATAAAATAGTGAAGAGATGTTTGTTCTTATGACCATAGTTCTTGCTTCCCGGTGCCCTTTTCATGGTCCTGACAGAAACAACTTCTTGTATGAGAGCTATCATGTTATGTTTTGATTGTGAAAGGGGGCATCAGTGGTGGGAGATACATCTTGTATGTACGAAGTGTTCTTGTAACTTACACAAGCTGTATGTGGTTTTGTTGATGGTGTTGATCAGAGAAATTAAATATCAATCAAAACTAGTCAGTGTTTTTTTTTAGTGATCTGAGCATTTTGTATTGAGTGTTAATGTAAAAGGTAATTTCTCATTGATAGGAAATCTCATGTGTATTACCAGATACCACAGGAACATCACACATGTAAGACCAAATACCACATAAGAACATCACACATGTAAGACCAAATACCACATAAGAACATCACACATGTAAGACCAAATACCACATAAGAACATCACACATGTAAGACCAAATACCACATAAGAACATCACACATGTAAGACCAAATACCACATAAGAACATCACACATGTATGACTAAATACCACATAAGAACATCACACATGTATGACCAGATACCACATAAGAACATCACACATGAAAGACCAAATACCACATAAGAACATCACACATGTAAGACCAAATACCACATAAGAACATCACACATGTAAGACAAAATACCGCAGGAACATCACACATGTAAGACCAAATACCACATAAGAACATCATACATGTAGGACCAGATACCACATAAGAATATCACACACATAGTACTAGATACCACATAGGAACAAACATGTAGGACCATAGACCAGTTAGCCACATCAAACACCTAGGACCAGATACCAATCAAAATTAAGTTACAATCCACAAACCCTTACATTGGCAGATATTCTGAATGTAATAAAAGCTTATGAAAAACATTGGTTAAGGTTTTTATTTAGCTCTTTCAGATGTTTGTGGCTCCACAAATCTTGGAATATTAATTTAACCCACTTCCCATATTCTGACTGAGCTGAAATTTAACCCACTTCCCATTGTCTGATGCAGCTGAAATTTTGGCACAGTGGTTGATTTTTGATGACAATGCAAGGATATCTAACTTATTTCTAATTTAAGTCTTTAATTAGATACATAATTTTATATTATTTTGTTTGTTAATCAGCTAATCTTGGAATATTAATTTAACTATTAATTGATATTAATTTAACCCACATCTCATTATCCGGTTGAGCTGAATTTAGGAACAGTGGTAGATCTAAGATGACGATGCAAGAATATAAATTTTTTTATCTAATTAGATAGACAATTAGTCATTAAAAATTATTTTAATAAAACAAATATTAAAAAACTTTATAGCAACAAGCTTTTAAATGCACTGAAAATAAGACCAATTTGCTTTCTTTCAGAAAAGCCTTGGCCGCTCATTAGATCTTTTAGTAACCAAAGCTTTTATAAGAGAAAACAGATTAGTTTTATTTTCTTTTTTTCGGTGCATTTAAAAGCTTGTTACTATAAAGTTTTTATATTTGTTTTCTTTTCTACTTTTTAGTGATTCCTAATTTATGAAGTCCATATGACTAAAAATATTTTCTTCAAAACACCATCAGTAGCTCGTGATATCTGAAAGACGATTATCTGCCCTGTGAAAGCAGCCAGATTAATATACACTAGCAAGCTGATAGAGTGAAGGATATTTCTTTTTATCTTACTTCCTCAACTTAGTTTCAAATCGTTTAAAAACTTTATTATCCGTCATTAACATCCTTCGCTAGATCAGCCGGCTCTACGATTGTAAACATTCTTGTGATCCACAGCTCACCAGACTGTTAAAGTGATCGTCTTTAGCTTGTTATCTCCCATTATGTTCTTGAATATAGTAATATATCAAGTGATTTAATTTTGTTACCTCCCGTTAGTTTCGAAACTGTTCAATTAATTTTGAATAACTAATTAAACATCTAATTAAACTAAAAATGGATAGACTTGTGTTGTCATCGAAGTGGAAGGTATCTGGAAAGTTACAAGATTTTCCACAAACCCACATACAAGTCAGACGTTGCGAATTAAATAAATAAAAGCTTGTAAAAAAATTAGATAAACAAAAAAAAGCTAGAAGTCTAGATCTACATCGAATTCATTATTACTTAGCACACGCAAAGTAAATGAGATATAATATTACAATTAAATTCAGAAGAACAAAACTATAGATGACCCCGACGTGATTTGAACACGCAACCTTCTGATCTGGAGTCAGACGCGCTACCGTTGCGCCACAGGGCCAGCTGTAAGACAGGGTAAATATTAGTTTTATATATGTAAGTTTTTAAAACAATATTGGTTAGTATTTCAAGAAAATTAATAATTATATTACCTTTTTGTTTATTAGACTCTTAATCGTAATTCAAACCATTTAAATTATGGATTTATACTTTCTTGATGAATTTTATATAATGTAATTTCAGGAGCCATATTGTTTCTGAAATCTACTTCCGCTTTTATTAAAAAAACTGACCGGTGTATAAACGACACATTGTTGTGTTATGTTTTGGTAAAAATAATAGACTCTGGATCTAGAATCTAGATCTATTTCTAATTAATTACTTGATCTACTAATTAGATCATTCAGTAATGGAATCCATACTTGAGCAACAACGCCGTAATCATGAAGAAAGGGAGAGACTAATGGAAGCAATGACAAGCGAAATGCTACACCAAAAGAAAACGGTAGGTTCTCTCTTCTCTTTCACTCGTACTCGTTTGGAGAGTCGTTTGAAGTGAAGAGTAGAGGAGTCAGGAGTGTTGAAGCAGTTGACTGTGTAGAACTAGTCTTGTAGATCTAAAATTTAGATATAAACCTAGAAGGCCTTAAATAGTATCACGTAGTTAAGCCTAGTGAACACTCTATACCACAGTCTACATCTCATCATCTAGAAATCTAGAGAGGAGAGAGTAGTCAGTAGTAGCTTTTCTTACTAAATCTAGAATTTACCCAAATTTCAAATTAAACATGACTACGGAATGATAGACATCCATATTTAATCCATTAGGGACTAATTTTGAAGTTTTTAGTTCGTTTTAAACTAAATTACTCAATTTAATATTTATTGACACTCACTGCCATGGACAACACATCTCTCCATGACAACTCTTCTTACCCCTGAAGGCACTTGAAGCTAAAGAGAACCACAAATGGGGTTAGACTTTTTAAGTGGCCATGTACCCAGAGTTCCCCACTAGTGATCATCAAATAGCGGTCACGTGGTCAAAAAAATAAAAAAAATTTGGTTGTCATTTTTTGGCCACTCTTATAAAAAAAAGGGTTGACTATATTTGATTTATTTTTTCATAGACTGATAAAACTAATAATGCTTTAGTAGGGAAATCAATTTTGTAATAGGGAAATCTATATTTAAAAAGTTCTAGTATTTTTGATGAAACCAACTTTTAAATTTAGCCTTCATTCTCCAACGCAAATTTTAAAATGCTTTACTGGCATATATAGCCCTGCCACCTATAGCTTGTTGTTATAACGTGAAAGTCCCGCCATTTTGCGCGTGGTAAACATTTTAAAAACTAATTAGTAGAAGGTCTCTGGAATTTGGCCGAAAAATCGTCGGAAGTCAAGCGTCCGGTCCGGGCGCCATATTGTTGTTAGCAACCGGCCACGCCTCCGGGTTAGCGAGAAATACTAGTCAGTAGTGAAGACCAGTGACAAAAACTGTCTATTGGACATTGGAGCCTATTGAATCTATTGAGGAATCTATTCGGACCCAGATACAAAGAGCCACAGCCGCTATAAATTTGGACCTGGGTCCTTTTACTCGAGCCCAATTACTCTCATCTCGCAATCAAGGTAGTAGTAAGTTACAGAAGAGAAGAGAAGCTTACATTAACTCCCCATAATATTCAATGACCCCAATTCCTTTTTCATTTTGCTTGATCTGGGGAAAAACAAAAGTGACATCATCAACAATCTTAATTTATGCTATAGGCCCTAGATAGGCCTGCTGATATCTTCACTAAAGTGACCCTTGAACTTTTCTCCAGCTGACAATAAAACATGTGCTGGCAATCATAAAACCAAAGATATTTAGAATCGACATATATCTTGAATATTTAAAAAAAATCTCTTATCTTGAAAAGATATTAAAAATGACATACAACACTCGTGACCAATCTACTTGTTTAGTTGAAACCTTTCTGCCTGAACAAGTCTGGCTTCTGGTTTTCTGGGTACGAACAAAGAATTTAAAATCTTATGTATTTTGATTCCGAACCGATAACTACACCAAAGAACTATAAATAACTTTAAAAGCCCAACAAAAACTAGCAAATCTACAAGAGAAAATGTGTAAAATTTAATACAGCTTTGAGAATTTGCAACTATAGACCAAACTTAATGTAAATGTAGTACTGTAGTAAATAATATTTAAGCTAAGTAGACTGTTGCCACATGGTTAGAGGAAAAGCTTTTTTTTTTTTTTGGGTTAAGGTAGGGTTAGCGTTAACACCTGGAGAAATACAGATACTGTCTAGTCTAAATCTGTGGAAATTTTACTGCACTCAAATTTCTCTGTGCTAATGATTGCTTGTTTATTTTAAAAAAAATATTTTTAAAAATAAATTATGAAGGAAATAATTTTATTATTTTAAAAAGATGTATTAAGAATTTATGTAAATAAACATTTACTAAAGTAAACTTAATTATTACTTATTTCAAAATGTGTGGGCTTTTGGCAAATTGTTGCCATAAAATTCATTTAATTTTTATGAAAATATATGTTGTTTTATAAACTTCATTTATTTATTGTTGGCTCTGTGCTGTTAATTTACTAAATAATCATGGCCAACCAAAATGATGTAAAGTTAGAAGATTCAGCTAAAATGATGTCCCACATGGCCGTGTTAAAGATATTGAGCATTAAAATTAAAAATTTTATTTAACATTTTTATTGCAGCAAAGGGAACAAATAAATTCAGACCACAGGCTTAAAATTCTCCATGATGTGAGTATAAAGATGAAGTTTTCTTAATAAATTAATAAAATACAGCTTTTATAATTAAACTTGTATTTGACTTATTAACTAGATGATCTTTAAAGGTGCGCTAACATGAAAGATTTCAGCAAAAGCTCTTATTTATATATCATCAATCTTCCAATCCACAGAGATATGCAGAAACCACTAGAGAGTTGAAGGAACTCTATGAAGATAAAGATGGGTAAGTCTAATTCAGTTGTGATCTGATCACTTGTTTTTTTTTTCCTGAAGTAATAAAAATTTTTGGTAACTAGGTTGTGACTGTTGCAAACATACTTTTCACCTTGTCAAGCAAATTAACACCTACCTTATGTGTTTTGATTTTATTCCCCATGATTTGATTTGTGTACATGCCCATTCTGTATAAACTAGCCGTCTGTACCCTTTACAAGTGAATTATAGTAATTTATAAGCCTATATATTTTAATGTTATTATTGTTATACATGTTTGACAAAAATATTTTATAAAATAGTTATTGGTCAAAACGCAATGTGCTTTACTACATATTGAACGATATTAGTGACAAAGCAAAAAAAAATAACTAAGTTGCTAAAATCCAACACATTTAAAATAACATAGGGTACCAATACCTATTTGAAAAATTAAAACCAAATTATATACTTAATTAATCAACACAACACCATATCAGCACATGCTGATTAAGAGACTAAAATAATTCCTTTAAAAAGCTGGTTGTTCAATGATCATTATGTTGTTTTTTAAAGTAATTTGTATTAGTTTGACCTAAAAAATTGTATACATTTCATTGTGTACGTCTTGATAAGTGGATTTATAGAATTTAGATCCAAATCAAATTCAGATGAAAAAGTTCATTTCTTCATATTCTAAAATTGGGATTATAACAAATTCCCATAACCTTATCACATCACCCCCATAACATCTCAAAAATATTTCAGAATTAAAGTGATTGGAGATGCTTCATTTCTTCCACAAAGCTTACTATGTGATGGCTAGTTAATGGGGTTAGGTTACAGTCTCATGGGCAATAGCCATCTGTAGTGCTAAACTAATCAAAAGTACAGTCTATACTTAGTTATGTCTCTCTAAGATTTGTTTCATCATTTTAGTGTCCGTAAAGAAGAAATACAAACTTTGGCTGGGCCCAATGAGTATGCTGAGTTTAAGAAAAGACTTAATGCCATTGAAAACTTTTACCGCCAACATCCCAATGAGGTAATGCATAACTAGCACATGCGTCTTAGCACTTATGTATGTAATAGAAATTTGAGATTTTTTATTATGACTTATGTTTGCATATTTAAATCACACAAAAATTGATTTAGTCTGTACATGTTTCATTATTTTGAATGTTGCAGGTTAGCATACCAATGTCCATTGAGTTTGATGAGTTGGCTAAACAGAGAGAAAGTCCACCAGATGATGCACAGAGTGAGTTAACAAAGTTATATGAATTAAAAAAGTGCATACTTGGTTACATTTTAAAACAGCACAGTACTCACGTTTTATCTCATTTGTTTTAATTTATCAAACTTATGTTACAGATATGGTTGATTTCACTGATGAAGAAGGTTATGGTAAATACTTGGACTTACACAAATGTTTTGAACAATTTTTGAACTTAAAAGGCATTGATGTAAGTGCATACAATTTTATACATTATTTAGACATAGTTGAGTTAAATATGTTAATCTAGCTCCATGATGTTACATTTTTTAAGTGTATGTTTGCAGGCACAAAGAATTTTGCTTTTAAATTTGATGACAAAAATTCTGGTCACAAAGTTGATTTAAAGATATATAGTATATTTTACTCTGGAATGATTCCTATAATACATTTTTATTTTCAGAAAATTGACTACATTACATATTTGTCCACATTTGATCATCTGTATGATATACCAAAAGACAGAAAGAATGCAGCTTACAGAGAGTGAGTCTAATATTTGTGTTTTGAAACATTTTCTACTTGATTAGATACTCTTTAGTTTATCTTGCCAAATAAACTACCACATTCTTTTGCTAGTTTGTTACTTTGTATTATTATGTTGATTGTAGGATGTATTCATATCCACTAGCTTTATTTTTTCTGTTTACAGGTACCTAATCTTTTTATTAGATTACCTAGCAGAATACATGTCAAAAATAAAGCCTCTGGTTGACTTGTCAGATGTAAGTAGTGCTAACATTCCCTTCAGTTGAATAGACTGAGCTTCCAACATTTCTACTTAATATATTCTTATCATTCCTTGTGTTTCACCACTCAGGAGGTTGAACAAGTCCAGATAGAGTTTGAAAGACTGTGGGTTGATGGCATGTTTCCAGGGTGGCCAGTAAGTCTAGCATTTGTTCTAGAATTGTATCTCAGTAAATACAGAACTTTTTATTGTAACCATGGCTCAGTAGAGAAATAGTTTTGTATAGTGTAAACTACCTGTATTGCAATAGAAAATTATTGTTGTATATTTGCTTTTAGCTGGATTCATTAGAATGTTTTATGATCTTTTTAACCTAGGTGTGAAATGTTTTTATTAAAACAATATTGTTGTTATTTTTACTTGCCTAACATGTTTTGTTAAATGTTGAAAATTGGTTTATTCTAGAAAGAAGCATCTGGTGCTCTGACACACTCTGGTGCCCATCTTGATCTGTCTGCATTTTCATCATGGGAGGTAAGGCTTGGTATCCTTTGTTGACTCTTCTGATTCTAATGGTGCTAGTTTAGGTGTATAATCAAAAATAATTTTTATGTGAAGTGACCAGATGTAATAATTTTATTTAAAAAAATGTTATTAACATTTAAAATGGAGATCTCTTTACATAAATATAAGGTGATTACAATAAATTACATTACTTTCTTTAAGAGCAGATTTTTGTTGTTTCTTAAATTAGGAATTGGCATCCTTGGGTTTAGATCGTTTGAAGTCTGCTCTTATGGCACTTGGAGTCAAATGTGGAGGGTACGTAATTTTCTTTAATGTATCAAATGAGCTGAACTATTTTATACACAGCTAAAAGGATACTTCTTAAACCACTGTAAATGGTACACTACAAAGAACATAGACTTTTTTCACATCTACGTAGTCAGGTTATTTTCTGATCTCTGCACACTTTTTAACTTCTCTAACACTTGTGTTACTGCAAACTTCAGAACCCTAGAGCAAAGAGCCCAGCGCTTGTTCAGTACTAAAGGCAAAAGTTTGGATGAACTTGACCCAGCTCTTTTTGCCAAGTCCAAGCCAGGAAAAGCAAGCAAAGTTGGTAAAAGCAAGTAAGTCATTGCAAATAATTTTAGTGTTTTTTGTGGGTTTTTTCCCTTTATTCATCGATATTATTCTTTAATATAGACATCAAGTTTTTCCTGTATCTGAAATTATCTTATTCATTCAGAGATTCAGAAAAGCAAAAGGAGATTGCTCTGTTGGAGGCTCAGGTGTACAGGTTAAGTGAGCTGTTGAGTGAACAGAGGTCGTCCACTCGCGACAATGTGCAGCGCAAGCAAGCTCAGACAGGGGAGGAGAGGGAAGAGTCTGATGAAGAGAAATTTGAAGAGTCTGATTCAGATGAGGATGCTGATGATGCACCTTACAATCCTAAAGATTTGCCTCTTGGTTGGGATGGGAAGGTAGGACTAAATTTTTTTTTTTTTTTTTGCTTCTGTTGTTTATTTAATAGGTATTTCGCTAGGTTATCTTTTAGAGTTCTACACAATACATGTTTAATTTTTAATTATTTTTTTGCTATCTGTAAGACAATTTTGATAAAATCACTTGTAAACTACAAAGAAAAGTTGCCTTTTTAAAATGTGTTTGTGTCCAAATGTTTGTTGAATTCTATCTGTTAGTGTCAGAAATAAATGGGAAATGTCTATATATATTATCAATTTAGTAATTAAACCCATAAATAATTAAATGTTAAAAACTGTTTTTCAGCCAATCCCATATTGGCTTTATAAACTTCATGGTCTAAATTTGACGTACACGTGTGAAATTTGTGGAAACCATCCATACAGAGGACCTAAAGCTTTCCAAAGACATTTTGCAGTAAGTGCTTCATATTTTTGTCTTCCACAAAAAGTTGAGAATTACTTTATTAGCTTTAGATGGATATTTTATAGAAGTTAATCGTGTAACTTTTTTACACAGGAATCCAGGCATGCACTGGGAATGAGATGCCTTGGTATCCCCAACACAGCTCATTTTGCTAATGTCACATCTATCGAAGATGCTCTGGCGCGTAAGTTTTTTTGTTACATATTGTTTTAGAAAAAAATTATTATTGTAAGTAGAAAAGTTGTTTGATTTTTAAGTTAACAAATCCTGTTTTCTTTTCTAGTATGGACAAGGATCAAATCAGGAAAGGAAGCTGAGCGATGGAAGGCTGACACTGAGGTATTTAAAATTTTGAATATTTTTTAAAATGAACTTATTGGTTGGCTAACTAACTATTCCTTACTTCTTTACTTTTTTTTTCTATAGGAGGAATATGAGGACTCTCAAGGAAATATTATTAATAAGAAAATGTACACATTGCTGAAGAAAGAAGGCATTTTATAAGAGTTTGTACTTAAAATTGTTTTTATGAAATAAACTCTTAATATTTTTATAACCTGTTATAGGTTGCTTGTTTTTAACCTACTAGAAATCTAGCTCAGCAAATTTTGAAATATTAATTTAACCCACTCCCCATTGTCCGATAGAGCTGAAATTGGGCACAGTGGTAGGTCTTGGATGACAATGCAAAAATATGTAAATTTAAAAAATGATCATTTTAAAGGCTTTATATTCACACTCTACAAATCTTTCAATTCTTTTAACCTACCTCCTTTTGTCATTAAAATTTTATTTAAAATTTACTATATTCAATAACTTAAAAAAAAAAAAACTTGATCAAAGGTGAATTCTTTTCACTACTTTACAAACTTCTGGATAGATTTTAGCACTAGCCTATTTTAGTGTGGATTTCATTTTGAACAAATTAAAGAGTGGAAAATAATTGGCACATAAAATGTTTTTTAAAGAAGTCTTTTTATTATATTCACAAACCACAAAATACCACAAGTGAAAAAAAGTTAAGTTTGGTGTAACCATACTTAAGTTATGTGCTGATATGACTAAAAATAAAAGCCTGGGCACTCACTGATGGAGAAAGTATTCCTTTTCATAGGGAGTTCATTAATAGTAATGAAAGTTCAATTATCATCATTAAGTGCCCAGGCTTTTATTTTTAGTCCTACCACCATTTATTGTTATAACTTACACCAAAATAAATTTATTCTTTACCTCTTAAAACATTTTCATTTGTGATCTTTTTCGTGATTTGTGAATTTTAATAAAGCCTTTTCCCTTTAAATGTTAAAGAGCACCAGGTAGATTTTCATGTTTTGAATGTCCTAGCTCAGGGGTCGGCAACCTGCGGCTCGCGAGCCGCATGCGGCTCTTTTGATATCAAGATGCGGCTCTCCAGCTCCTTGAAAAAATACTAATAATCTTAATAAAAAAATAAAATATTTGAAATAAAAAAAAAATGTTAGTGGCTCTTTAAAACCAGGGAGATTTTGAAAATTGTAACTTTTGGCTCTTTCGCTTCAAAAGGTTGCCGACCCCTGTCCTAGCTAAACTATCAAGAATTAGGAAGTTGCCGTTATATTCCAAAATAATACTTGAGTGAAACATATCAGAACAATGGTATGTTATTAACACATGAACTTTTATTAAGTGTTACCAAAAAAAATAATTACATCTTTTATGGACATGGGAGAAAAAAAAATGATCAATTAATAAAACTACCCTAAATAAAATAAAATTCACACTTCCACCATCCTATTATACACCAGCTGTATAAATTGATTAATATCTAATACATTCTAAATCTGCTAGCTTTTGTAAACGACAAAAAATTACCAAAATTAAACTTCGTTCTAAACAACATTGGATAATTCAGCTATTTATTTTTCATTAACCTTTGCCACATCCAGTTCATTTTTAAATTATTTATGTAGGTTGCAGCTATAAATAACATTCCAATATAAAACAAGATGAGCCAACATTGACAGTGCTGCTGTTGATGACAAATGTGAAGTCAGACAACATAAACTGATGGGAGTTGTCAAGTAGAAATGTGCTCAAAAAGGGGTACAAAAACAATTTTATTAAACTGTTGTAACTGAATATGCTCATTTTGTACCCTAAAATCTTCAGAATATGCACTTTAAATGACTGACAAACTTTTTTTATTTTATCAATTTGAGGTAATATACAGACAAATGGAAAGACAAGGGTTATGGACTGAAATAGCAAAAATTGTTATTAAAATTTAAATTGAAACTAATTTTTTTGGTTATAAATTGAAATGAATTTCATGTAAAATTTACACAATTTTAAGAAAAAAAAAGAACTATAATCACTAAAAAGAAAACCAACTAGATACAGAAAAATACAGCAAAACCTCAAGAAACTTTGTAAATGTAAGAAAGGTTCAAAAGCATTTTACTCTTATTTTTTTAAAAAAAGGTAATGCTCCATAAACAAAACTAAATTAGTACAAAAATGTATACATGAGGATTATGATCTAGGGCTAACAGTTACATAGTAAGAATATGGGAAAGCACCAGTCAAATATAGATTACATACAGCAGGGTATATTGTAGATACCGCTGATGCTTGTAACAGTGGGACTTAATCATTTGACAACCCTCCAACACACTCATGAGACTCAAGAAAATGCATGCTTAGTTGGCAAAGTTTGATGTGGCATGTAGTGGGATTTCACTGGCCATGACGTTATATCTATTTTACTAAATTTAGTATTAAGAGACACTTGGGGGATTAGCCTAGCTCTCCTAATCCACAGACCATAAGCCACTGGTGTAGCCAATTATCAGACCTGTAAATAGACTAGTGCAGTCAGTTCAGGTTACCTTAATTTTTCAATACAATGGGATAACATGGTTAAGTAAAAACTTTTAATACACGACTAGTTGCTTACGCTCTGAAATAACTTCTCAGAGAAAAGAAAAAAATGGTGTCTACATGTTGAACTACTCTATAATCAGCAAGTCTAGCAGTTGAAATAAACTACTGAAACAATCTTATGTGTGACTACACTGAACTGGCAGAAACCAAGATAAAACATTGCAACAGACAGTCACTAGTGAATTTCTTCCTATCTAGACTATTTAGAAAACAATGTTTTCAAATAACAGAGTTCCACCATAAACAAGCACATTAGTAAGCTATTAATAAATTATGCTAAGCACACACTCTTTGGATGATTATGCCATTCTAAAATAAAAATTAAGCTAATAAAAGTTTAGAGGCGGTGCGAAGTGAGAAAACAAGAAAAATAATGCTGTTAAACAATCAAAGCATATACACTGGTACAATCTGTATGAGAAGAATTGAAGATAAATACTTGATGCAGTTTAAAATTCTTTACAAGTTTAAGGATAGAACAAACTTCTGCAACTGTGCTGGTTAAAGGTGCATGAAGCATTAAGAATAAAGGACAGTGGTGATAGCAACCCCTGCTGATAACCAAATATGAAGGCTGTAAATGTATAATTTTATATGGGGGGTTATTTAAAGTTTTCACAAACAAGTACAGTTGCAATTTTTAACATGGTAAAAAAGAAACATAAAAGTCTACAAGTTTGTTGAGTGTATTATTTATTGACCTGATCCCCCAGCATTTCAAGCTAGAACCCAGGTGTGATCTTGTATGATCACAAAGCTCCACTTAAAGCAAATGGCATGACAATTTGTGCGTTGCCTCACTGATATTGGGACAAGAATATAATGTGTGATGAGATAACAAATTCAATGCTGCAAACTGTAGAGCTGCTTCATCCAAGTTGTATTTAGAATGTATGTACATTAGTTTCAAGTCTGATGATTAATACTGTCAAAATTACATCTGAAGAACAAGAAGAAAAAAAGCATAGTTGTAACCTGCCCACTATTTAGTGAAGGAATTCACATGCTTGAATGAAGTAAAATATTTATAATATGCAATTAACCTAACTGAATGATGCTACAATAAACTACAATAAATGATGCACAATATCAAACAGCTGCCTGATTCTCTAAGTAAAAACAGATTCATTAAAAAAAAAACTAAATAGGGACTTTCAAGCATAAACAAATTGGTAAAATAAAAATTATACCCAAGTGACATAAAAATGTATTCTGCACAACTACAGGTTAATAAGTTGAAACATGCTAAAAGTCAAAGGTTTCTAAAATGTAACCTTTGCTATGATGCATTAAATTAATAGATAGCACACAGGTTTGGTTGAAATTTTCATTCCCCATTAAAAATTGAAGATTATTGATAGGACTACATTCAGTATACCCTGACAAGGAAATTTGAAAGTGAGCCACAGATGATTCTACCTGGTGTTGTGCAAAAAACATATGCCCTATCATGCAGAATAATATGTTGGTAACAATGAGGCTGAATTATGAATTTCCTATGATTGCAACCATTTTTTTATATTGAGCATTAATATTTCTATTATAATTAAAAAAATGGTAAATAGGAAACTGATTTATTTAATATCTAATCCAAGTGCTGAAGACTTACAACAAGGAAAATAGAATGACAACAGTATGCAAAAATTGTGTACATTAGTTACAATAAAAACTCGACCAAGGCTACAAGAATTATAATTAATGCCTTCAAGAGGAACAGCGTAGTTAATATGTACATCATTACTGACCAGTTAAGAAAAAAAAAATTAAATTCAAACATAAATTCAAACAATCAAGCTATGTCCTTTCAAACAATTCTGCACTAATATGGCACAAAATGTAGCAACATAACTTTATAAAGGGATCAATCTAATTCTGATTATTTCAAGAAGCCATCTCACCAACATAGGGAATTAGTAATAACAATGTGACTAAAAAAATGTAGACATGGTTAATCACATCAGCAGCAAAACAAATCATTTAAATACATAGATATCACATCAAACAGTTGGCTATTTCTACTGGCATACGCAGTGAATCACATGACCATCCCATTATTTTCACATATAAACAAATTGACAAAATTTAATTTTTTTGTGTGATAGCAATAATGCAGAATATTTAGTCTTTAATAAAGAAAGATAAAAATAAAATATATCTTAATATAATGTGCTATACAATTTTTAATGCATCGAAAAAAAAAATGATTTAATTTTGACCAAATTTAACCAAATTGTGAACAATTCTTGTAGGACAAAACAATGTTGGTATGCTTTTCAAACAGTTTATGATTCACCAGCTCAATTAGAAATCCAACCAAATTGGTCAAAAGCAATAAACATTTCCTTTAGAAAGCTGACATTAAATACATTTTCCAACATACTTTTAAATATTCAAGTATAAAGCAACACCATAGTTAAACACCTAATATTTCACACAAAGATACACTAGTCCCTTGACAAAAAATTCTTTTACGTTGGTATTAACATATATACTCCTCTATTTTTCTTTATTACAATTTAAAAAAAAAAAGCCCCCTTATAACCTAGAAGTCAAACAGAAAAAACAAGTCACCAGTTTGAACATGAAAACAACACGTGTAAAATATGTATAAATAAATAATAAATTATCTCTTTCTCTTTAAACAAATATTGAGCTGGTGTATTTTACAAAGAGTGTAGTTTAATATACTCAGTTTAAACTAAGCAATGAAAATATTTATAAATCACAAAGTATAACAAAGTTGACACACCCTCCCTCCACATTCAATCGACATATGACTCAGCTTATAGAAAATTTGGTGTAAGAAGACACATTTAATGAGTGTACCACTTGAAGAACTGTCATTTGGTAAGAAAACACACATTTTGGCACCCATTAACCCTGTATGACCACTTTATCTAATCACATAGCAGGCTTTGCATTTACAGGTGAAATGCACATGACATATGACATCCTCATGACATGTCAACTTCAGACTGGCAACAGTTTCGCCCTAAATGCTTGAACCACCAACTTGGCCTAGTGAAAACAAAAATTATTGATCTGTAAAAAGCACATAGACATTTATTCATGGAAATAAAAACACAGAGCAAATTTAATACCTTTAAAAAAAATTTAAAACCAATTTTAAAAAGGTAATAAATTGTGACAAACCAGTATTGAACATGTGTTCAAACACATAGACAAGACCAGAAGATATGCCCAAACTTACCTATGTGCTGTTGGTAATAAATTGTGACAAACCAGTATTGAACATGTGTTCAAACACATAGACAAGACCAGAAGATATGCCCAAACTTACCTATGTGCTGTTGGTAATAAATTGTGACAAACCAGTACTGAACATGTGTTCAAACACATAGACAAGACCAGAAGATATGCCCAAACTTACCTATGTGCTGTTGGTAATAAACTGTGACAAACCAGTATTGAACATGTGTTCTAACACATAGACAAAGGAGACCAGAAGATATGCCCAAACTTACCTATGTGCTGTTGACCCGGTAGGCTACACTAACATGTTAATACACCTAGCTACACATTAAACATTTTATTGGCATGCTTACTATTCAAGAAATCAGAAAACAAGATGTTCTCATAACACTGTCATTTCATTTTAAAAAATAATGCTTTACTTGAAATGGAACCCTCAGAGCAGACAACTTACTTTTGAAGTGTAATCTTCCAGTTTGTGGATGACTAATGTGTTACAGCCAGGTATAATTGGATGACAAGAGGTCACAAAGTTCACTTCCTGGAAATACAAACAACAAAATATAAATAAAAAAGATACAGAGTAAGGCAGTTACAATTTCTTGTCCAAATAAAAACAGCCACACACACACCTTGGTCAGCGGGGACTGGACAACTCCATTTAGTGTTACAGAGCCTATGGGGCAGCCGCCATGGAACCGACACCTCACACCTTTATCATTAATCTTTGTGTGTGCTATGAAGAGCAGAAAACCTTCACCTGGGGAAAGTACAAAGCCATAAGACACTAGGTGAACAAACAGCATCTCTGCTGCCACTAAACAAAAAGAGAAATTCCAACCTTGAGCAACTGGATGAATGTTGCTATTAAATTTGACAACAAATTCCTGCGACTCTCTCAGAGGAAAACATTGAAGTGGAAACAAAGGTTCCATCAGCTCAGCTGTTTCTTCTAGAGTGGCCATCACTCGGCTACGGAAGGCTTGCTCTAGCCTTTAAATAATAAAAATAATTAGAATACATAAACGTCTTCTACAGGACAAAAATTGAAACAAAACAACTGCTGCAGCACTTACCTCTGAAAATGAGATCGAACTATAGCTTCAATTTGTGGATTTCTCCTCTCTATGGCCAGCTCCAGGGCAGAAGAACTGGAACATGTTGGTGCAGCAATATTGACACCCACACGCAACATCAGATTTACCACTTCTCTATTCTGTCTCTTGATAGCCTTTTTAAACAAATAATAGGAGGGCTAAAAAATGGAGGACAGTAGATGATGCACCTAGGTCTGGACTAACAAGATACATGGAAAACAAATTACACAATACAAATTTCATTTCTTTTAGCTGGTTTAGTCTTTTATTGAAAGACTTGTTGACAGGATTTGTTTTCCATGTATCAATATTTAACGATGCTGTAATAAACTTAAGTGTAAAACAAAATGTAAAATGTTTTGTTTCCTCTTACTTTCATTAAAGCGGTCTCAGCTTGGTCAGAATGTACTGTGTAAAGGCTGCTGTTGGCTCCATGTTTTAACAATAAAGCCAGGAGACATACACCATTCTAAGACAGACAATTTTTCTATCAGTTGACAGATACATCATAAATAAGAGTGTAGCTAATATTATGACAGAATTCTGGATTGCCAACAATTCAAACTAATACAGACTATGCCAACAATCCTACCTGCTCAGCAGCAATCATTAAAGCTGTGATACCATTAGTTTGCTGGGCATTGACATTGGCTCCATTCTCAAGCAACATTTCAACTATTGCAACTGATCCTAGAGAAGTTGACAAAACAGTGAGTTTTACAAAAACATACAATTGAGATACAGATGTCTACTATAAAAAGCTAGTCTCATACTTTACCTTTCTGCACAGCTCTCATAAGCAGAGTCAGGCCTGTACCATCGGGTTGTTCAAAGTCCAGTCTGCGCTCTGTGTTACATGACTGGCGTATGGCTCGCTTCACAACTTCAGCCTTGCTCAGGTTGACAGCTTGCAGGAGATCAGCTGGTGATTAAGTGGCTTTCATTAGACTCAGTTACAACACACATTATTCAAAAAAATACACAAAAATATACTTGTCTTACCATTGGTTACAAATCCAACGTCCTTTGAGCCAAAGCGGTCTTCACCCTAAGAAAAAAATGGGTATTTTTAATAAATGAACCACAACACACACGTTTTTTTTTATGAGCTCATTCAAAAAGATAACTGAGTTTTCAGCTATCTAAGAAGCAAACAGCTGAACAAAGGCTACCTGCTCGACAAGATCCTCAAGTTCATCACAGGTCAGTGTGCTGATTCTTCTATCAAGATCTGAATCTTTAAAGAGAGGAAAAAAGTAATCATTAAAAACAATCAATATAAACACAATTTTTTAAACATTTTTTTTATAAAGAAACCAGCTTACCCCTTCTGGAGTTTGGAGACGGGATCTTCTCCAGCGGTAGTGAGACATCATTCCCTCTTTTCCTGGACCACATCTCCTGTGAGTCACCAAAGCCCCGTGTCTGTGTGTACAAAGATGTAGCTGAAGCCGTCGTATCCTGGCGGGGGTCAGCCTGGTCAACTTCCATCATGTTGGCCAGTCTCTCATGGCTGCCACTGGATACAGTAGAAATGTTCTCTGAAGAGGAGCTCCTAAAGTTCTCCTTCCCCGGGGAGCTAAGATTAATGCTGCCAGCAGGGGAGGGGAGGGTAAACTGGCTATGCTGTTCCCCTGGAGTTGACGACCCCCCTGAAAAGCCAGAGTCTTGTCTTGCAAAACTGAAAGCACTGTTATTATCACTAAATAAACCTGGTCTCTCTGAACCTTCATAGTTTCTTCTACTCACATGTGTCGTGTCTACCTCCTGTGGAATACCACTAGGCCTGCTGGAAGAACTAGCCAAGCTGTCCAATTGCAACCTATGAACTAAAGGATCCACACGACCAAATGAATTCTTGACACTCTCTCTATTCAACGACACGTTACTAGTTAACATTTCATCAAAGCTAGAGTCAGAGCTGTAGGAGGACAAGGTGCGCTGGGACTTGCCCACCTGCACGGGTGAGGACTTTATGGATGCATGTGTTCTGCTGCCACTCTGGGGTGAAGCTGAGTAGAGGTTGGACCTTTTACCGTGAGGAGAGATGGCTCCACCCTCACCAGGGGGGCTCTTATCTAGCCTCAAGCTGCCTGGGTCATCAGAGCTGGTGACACTGCTACAGCTCTCACTGTGAGGTACCGCCTCCTCTGCCTCAGACATGCACTCCTCATCCTCGTGTGCATGCCCTCCCTTTGTTTGGTCCTTGCCGTTTTTCATATTTCTCCTACGATTGGCTCTACAGTCTGACCTATTGCAGGCCCCACCCCATAAGCATTCTTCGTCATGTGAACGTTCAATTGACCCACTAGCCTCAGACCGAGTATCTAGCGTTGACCTTTTGACCATAGGGTCCATGTTTAACCCTGATGGACCTGGTGCGCTGCCACTAGAGGTGGCACCGCTGGCCTCAAATGGAGATCCAGCTAAAGAGTCGCTGCCACTAGCTCCTCCGTTAACTGTACCAGTAGAAAAAAGCTGACAATGTTCATCTGAAAATTATCAGCACAAGTCAGAGATCATACTGGATGTTAAATCTGACATGCCAAACATAATAGTGGAAACTTCATAACACTATAGAAATATATGCACAAAGCTATGTTTCTTATACCCACATTTTGAAAATGGGAAAAAAAAGTTGAGTTATCAAAGCAAATAAAATTTGTCAGCAAAATTAGACTAAAATGTAAAACTTACCTGTTGGTATACCTTTTTCTGAACTGCTGATATCTCCAGTATTGAGTATCTCAGTCTCTGTTGTGATAGTTAACATGGTCTCTGAAGAGACTGTCATTTGAGTTTTCTCACAGTCTGTATCTTCCTCATCTGATTGGTAGACTGCTCGTGCTGAAAAATTAGGTAGAAACTATGAACTTTCAGCCAATAAATGTAGAGCTAACAAATAGAAAGGAGAATAAAGCCAACTTACAGCTGGATTTGAGCGAGGATCCATTAGGTGAGTATGTTATGGTTGTGTAGCCAGTAGTGCCTGTTGTGAAAGTTGGGGCTGTGCTGGTGGTCAGCACGGGCGGGGTCAAGATTGGGCTGGTGGTGGTGACCATGCCCACTGTCTCTGACGTCACAGAACAGACATCTGGGGACGCAATACCAGACTTACGCTCATGGGATCTTCTGGCCCGTTTACATTTGTAGCCCTTTGAGCTAAAAGGTTCACTGGTGCGTTTGGATTTATAGCCCTTAGAACGAAATGGTTCACTAGCACGCTTGCGCCCTCTGCTGGCAACAACCTCATCTGTTGTTTTGGAAAGAGAAGGAGTAGAGTTTGATACTGTCGGATGCAGTGCAGACTGCTGACTTTTTGATTTGGCACCCTTTGGTGTAGCCGTCTTTGGTGAAGGAGTTTTTGCAGAGTGTAGAATAGCACTGGCTTTAGCATGGGACTGTTGTTTATGTATATTAGCCACAGCCTCAGCGTGGGCAGTTCGCTGACAGCCTTTAATTTTGGAGTACATGTCACCAGAGAAGAGGTCAGTGTATTGATCCACACGCCCCAGCTCCAGGTCTTTCCAAAATTTGTCTTTCACTGTGCCATACTCAGGGTCATACTGCTGTGAGTCATCATCCTTGTCTGAATTAGAGGTGGCTGGCAACGGCGTCTGACTCCTGCTGTTGTTTTCTGATGTCACAGGCTTTGAACCGCTTTCTTTTGGCTGTTTCTATAATGGAATGTTAATTGGTTGGAAATGGTAAGTTGAAAGAATATTAAAAAAAAAGTATTTTAAACGTACATGTGCAATATCTGAAAAGAGGAAAATAAATTTAAATCGATATTGACAAATGCTAGAATTAAGTAATATTAACAGGTCAAAAACATACTGCAAGAATTTCTCAATGCAAGCAACTCCATTTATTTTAAGGTCAAAAATGTACTTTTTTTGTTGACAGCCGAGTGATTTTACACCTAAGTACCAAACTCTGACTTAAAAGGGGCAGATCATAGATTCTTAAAGATTGCAAACTACTGATCAGGTTTTAATGCAAATATTTTAGTCATATCCTATGTTGTGTCAACCTCATTTGGAAAAAAACTACTAAAAATTGGGAAATAAACATAAAATAATCATTATTATAATTAGGTTTTAAATACACTGGGAAAAAAACGAATTTGCTTTCTTTGATAAGCACTGGTCAACTACAAATATTTGTTTTATTTAATAACATTAAATGGTATTTTCTTTTAGGCTTCTGTATGAAATTATCATATTCAATAACTCATTGAATCAAAATTTAGATAATTTTCGTGATTATAAAACAAATCTCACAAGTTATACAATGACTTACCGGCTGTTTTCTCTTGCCCTTTTTTTCAGCCTTTGATTTTCTAAAATCATCAATCATGTCCTGCACATTAGCTAAATCAGCTAAAGGTTGCCAAGTGTCAGCTTCTGGCCCATAACCTTTCCACCTCACTTTGTAGCAAAGTTTAAACTGGAAAATATATATATATACATCATTAAGAATGGTAAATATCTTTTACAACAAGTAAAATTAAATGGCTTTACATTTCAAATTTTATTTAGTATATCTTCTAGTTGGATCTTTTCTTACACACTACTTTAAAGCAGGTTTTAATCAGATGAAAGCACGGAAGAACAGTTTCTTTCAGTGGCGGAACTAGAAAAAAGGGCCACCCGCAAAGAATTTTTTTGGGCCTTATATATATATATATATATATATATATATATATACACGAAAATACCAACACAGAATACTCATTTCGGGCTTGTTCGAATTTTTTTTTTAAAAATCACTAAAAATGCTTAGTTTTTATTAATAATTAAAAACTAGTTACAACAGGCCATTTGTGTTACTGCTATAAGTCTGTTTTGAAAATCTCGGTTTTAACATGGTTGCTATGATGACTCCATGAGTAAATCGGTCGAAATAATATAAAGCAGGAAAGCTTTGTATGTGTAATGGTTTCTCGCCTTATGTTTATTTTTATGTTTGTTTTCTTATTATATTATTAGTTTTAAATGCATTTCCTTTTTATGCTTTGTTATTCTTTATTCTGTATTTTTTAATAATAATTAATAAAAGTAATTGCTTTTTAATTTGTTTAGTGCAAATTTATTAAAAGGTGCTTAAGAGCACACATATTTGACTATTTAAAAAAAGGAAATAAGTCATGGAAGTGGTTTGAACAATTGCGTATTTTTCACGCGATGGGTTTATTTTCAAAAGAATTTTGCCGACAACAGCGTGTGTTTGATTGTAGGAGAAAGAGGACTCGAGATGGTGTCTATAGAGTAAAGATAATCCAACCGCAGCTGCAGTATTCTTTTTACAAAACAACCACGAAGTCAATAATGTAAAAAAATTGATTATGGTCGGCTGCGGGCCCCTAGACGTCCCGGGCCCCCCCCGCAATGCAGGGTCTGGCGGCACTGTAGTTCCGCCCCTGGTTTCTTTATAAGGGTTAACAAATTTAAAAAATCAGCAACAGTACAGTCTAAGTACCAGATATCTATTCGTAAATATGCGACAGAGCAAAGCCCTTGGAACAAATATAAACAGAACATTGCTGTCAAAATTGTTTTACACATACATGTAACATAAATTCGAATGGCAAAAAAATTGAAATAAATTTAACTTACAGAGACAATGGCTCTGGAATCACGCATATGAATATGAAATTACATGAGAAACATTTTCCCCCTTCAGAACTAGATGCTTATCCAGTACAGCAATACATTTGTTTTTAAAGTTTTCAGGTGACTAAAGGACTTGCTCCTGCCTTGATTTATTATTCTGACTGTATTTAATTTATGATCCTTTTTTAGTAACATATGTAGTAGTTAGATTCTTTCAAAGCTATATAGTTCTTTTATGTATCATAAAATCTATTTAAAAGATTTTTTTCAACAGAAAAGTGCTTTTGCAACAAAAGTATGTTTTTAGCATCAGATGTATTTATTGGACAATAATAATAACTACTGTGTCACATTTTGGTATAAAGTGGCAAGAAAGTTAAATCTCACTACTGATAACTGAAGAAACAAATACCACATATATTTGATTGAATATGGGCTGATGCTTATCTCCCTTTGTTGTCTGATTGTTCTATTTTGCTTTACAGCATCAACATTCATATTTTATGATGGCAGTGACACCTGGACCCAGGATCAATAAAATTCAATTTAAAAATAAAACATAACCTCTGATTACAGTAAAATGCTTCTATTCTGCTTCTTGCAGTGCATTTAATAATTACTTGATATTGTCCTTTCTTACGCCTTTGCTCTTAACAAAATGACCTTGACAGTCAGGGAGCAATTTCAACATAGCCACCAAGTATTATTTGGTTTTGAAAGTGTGTTTTGTTAGATTTTCAGTTGCCTAGGTCAGTTACAATGGAGCACAAACTATTGAAAAACATAGAATGACAATATTAAGAAGAACATTTACTATGTAGTTAATAATTGGTAGTGCTTTTTCTTTTTTGTGCTTTTCATCTGATGAATGACTTTAATGCTTATTTTAATAAAGTAGCCATCATCTGAAATCAAATTGTTCCATATTGCCCTAATGCATTGCAAAGTATATCAATTGTAAGCTATGGGGTTCATGCACCAAAACTAAAATTTTTAATAGTTTTATATACATTTCAGTATATTTTAAACAGTAAGAAGTCATTTGTTGTATACATCATGGATTGGTTGAGTAGAAGACTTGACTGCTAACCCAATAGTCAGTCCCAGACTGTCTCACATAACTATGACCTATGCTATGGGTCTGCAGATACAAAACTAAGGTGAACTCTGTGACCCTTTGACTGCATTCAAGATTTTTTTCCCACTCTAAAGAAAATGTGAGCAGCAATCACATCATTGGGTGACAATGTTTGTAACTTGCATTTTACTGAAAGAATTTTTTCAACCTTTCATATAGATCAAGAAATATTTTTTTAAATGTATGTATATCTTCCACCTGCCCATCATGTATAAACTGCCGACAGCTGGAGCAAAAACAAATTTTGGTCAGTTTTTGACCATTGATAGCATTATAGGAGATTTTTTAAAATTTAGCAAAAAATTTTAGGGGTATCTTACAATTTTAAAAAATTAAATTTTATGAACATTTCTGGACCTGGAAAATTAGGAGGTAGCACAAACCCTAAAATGGACATAGATATCTACTAGATCTAGACTATCTAGATTCTAAGCCTCTAAGTCAAATGAACTGTGCATCTCAGTTTCAACCACATCTAGATCCCAAATCTAAAAACCTAGTATTCTAGATATCAAATCTGGAAATGTTTGACAATTTAAATTTTAAAATCACAAAATCGACACACACATTTTGTCTCTCTGAATCAAACATAACTGGAGTCTACTTAATCTACTAGATCTAGAGTAGATATCCCCCCCCCCCTTTCTCTCTCACGCAATCGCCTGCACCTGCTCGCGTGACGATCCTATTTTATACGTCTTAATCCAATTTTAATAGCTAAAATAAATAATTTACACCTTTAAATGTGTTGTTGATTGTATTATTAATTAATAGACTGCACAACCAAATAAAAAACACTTTACTTAAATTTATTAATTACACATCACGGATGACCCAGTGATAACTCAAGGGACGCAACTTTAATAATTATAAAAAAAGGACGTAACTAACAATTACTAAAAAGATAAAACCTAACATTTACTTAGACATGCTTGTATGTGGAGACATAAACTAGTTCTAGAAGAAGTAGATGATCGAAATAATTTAAAACAACAGAAAAATGTATAAACTATACAGATTCTAGACTTAGAGCATCTAGATCTAGGCTAGTCTAGCTCAAGTCATTGGTTATGCGACGAGGATAAACCACCCGAATCGTTATCCAAGCTGCTGCCACCCCCATTTGACCTCTCAGGTTGCTTTAGTAGCCTTAGCTATAGTATTTACAGTGTCCCGCACATATGTAGAAGCTATTTATAGTTAACCTAATTATAAACAGCTTTGATTGGTTGGTTTTATTCATCTCATCCCGGACGTAGTGTTTTCATCCGGGGGAACTGGGATCACCGGCTGACGTCATACCTCAACTTAAAAATTTAATTTCTTTCCAGAAGGATAAAACAAAAGAATTTGACCTGGATATATTTAGAAATGGACATGCAAACAACAGATACCGGTAGTTTCGTATAAAACATCCAAACAATTATTATACGATGCAATAAACAGACGATCGTTTCAAGGCTTGACCGCGCAGAGGAAATCTACTCTATATCTTTATATCCACAATAATTACATCTAGAATCTAGATTGTACTACTGACTATAGTGACTATATGTATCCACCCACATTCCATTGTACTAGATCTAGATCTACTAGTAACTAGATGGATCTAGATCTAACACTAGAATCTGAGATCTAGATCTAGTCTAGTAACTTAGAACTACTAGAACTAGATTCTAGATCTTCTTCTCAGTCAAGATCTAGATGGGTCTATTAATATTAAACACACGGTACAAAAGTAACCACTGATGCTCACTATCAGTGCTATCACTATGATTCACAATCGGTCAGCACAGGACAGTTACACAAGTACTCAGCTGCTTACTTTTTGTGCTCAGAATATTAAAAAATGGCTGCCACTGCCAAATTTATCATTTTGCAGAACGAGTCGACAGCATTTAACTAAATACTGCGCCAGATAAAAGAGTTTGTAGTCTTTTCACGAGGATCGCGAATTAGTCTACACAAGACCGCAATTGCTGCAGAAGTTTTTGAACAAAAAAATATCTAATTCAGGCAATAACAACAATGCAATTTTTTTACTTACGAGATGCTCCTTGCGTTTTACTGGACCGGCGATAATAGCTTCAACTTCATAATATTTATTGTCAGGCTCTGTAGCTAAATTAGTATGCGAAACATGTTTAGATAATTCATGTTTTGCATTATGTTCCTCTTCGCTTTCCATTGTTTCTGTTTCACTTTTGTTAGATTCCATATCTAAGTCAAATCCTTCGTCGTCTTCGCTGGATTCGCACGAACCTACGATTTCAACCTCAGGGCCTTCTAGCACCTCGATTTCTTCATCCGCTTCCGCCGTGTTGTCATTAGAATCGAACCTCCCAAAAGGGGAGACAGGTAGTATGACCTGTATAAACAAAAGAAAAAAATAGATTAATGGTTGTTAAATAAATGAATGTTGGCATATACTTCCATTTATTAATATTTGCATAAATACCTATCTAACGAAAATTCGTCATTAACTTACATAGCACCCTCTTTTATCAAAAATTATTCCCCTATATAGCAGTGACATAATTCCAATGTAAAGTGGTTACTAAAAATTGTTATAAATATGTCGATTCTGTTATATAAGGCTTCTTTTTCCGTTAGTTTGTATTTTTTTAGGTTTCTTGCATAACATTAGTAATTGTCTGTGCGGCAATCAACATATTTCCCTTATAGGCTGCTTTTATATTGAAACTACCATATTTTATCGATATATTGAGCCGAAAGCAACCACTCATGTTACAGTTACATACTCAGAATCCATCCTCCCATAGCTTTTCTGCTGCAGCAGAAGAAGAGGAGAGGAGTTTGCAGCTCACTCACAATAACATCTTGTTTGGAATATTTAAAACCTCTGGTAGGCCCAAGAAAAATCTCAACATAAATAGCATAATGCCTTTAACGGGGAATATTTAAATCGTTTGTAGGCTACGTATTCGCTTGCAAAACTTGTTTTGTTTTATTTCCTTTTAAAACCTCCCGTGTATGTATACAGGCCAACATCACTTGTGTAACAAAATACTGGTATCAGTAATTAACCTTCTGTAGTTTTAAAAAGATAATTAAAGACAGCAGAAAATCAGCATGGAATATACAACATACATATACATGTAGTAGGCTATAAGTCTTAAGGCATTATCTTTTTAGTTTCTTAAAAGAAAACCACTGCAATCTAACTATGTCAGTCGGTCACAGTATTATTACATTGGCATAAGGAGGTCTGATTTTTCAAGGGTAGCCTCATTCTGAGAATCTAAGTAAACTGACCTAAATTTAGAAGCTGAATCAAGAATGAGAACCTTGTCCTTATTGACCTCAATTTTATTATGTAGGTCACGAATGGAGCAGTCTAGACAAAACATGGTTTAGATACATAATATCGAATCTTTGCTTGTATATTAAATAGTGTATTATTAAAGAGTCTAATGTGTTTTTGAAAAATTGATTGTGGGAATAATTAGGTAGAAATCTGAGAAACACATCAGCTTTGGATACAAATACAAATAATTTTCTAATTTAGGCACGGAACTAGATCTAGATCTACCATTTTTAAATAGATCTAGATACTAGATCTAGCTTGTTTTGAGTTAGATCTAGAATCTAGATCTAGATCTAGATAGATCTAGATCTAGAATTATTACAAATTCTTAACACCAGGGAACTTTTATTTAATAATTGCACTATGTGTTGCGTCTCAATGGTCCATATTTCTGTCTGTATCTCCCCTCCCCGCCTTTTATGATAACGTTTTCATCACTAAGCAACGTCATTCTCATTTGAGTGTTGCTGATTAGTGTGTCAGGATTAACCGAAGTGTTATGGTTAGGGCTGTAACATGACTTGACCACCTCTTTTTATGGGGTAAGGAGACAGTGTGTATAGAAATATTATATCTGCTGGAAAATATACGGATTCGTAGCAAATGGAAGATGATTGTTTTTGTTTATCTTTTCTTATGTGCCACTACTAGACGTATTTACCACTGAGAGCTGGATTTAATACTTTTATTCCGTAGGATGCCCTTTCGTGTCGTGAACTCTACTTCACCTTCCTTATGCCTAATGTTACCTATAGTGTATACATCTATTTATATGTGTGATACATTTTATATTATAAGCCCAAGTGTTAAAATATATCTCTTCAGACTGTCATATGAATATCCATACGTTTGTCACACAATATATATATATATACATATATATATATATATATATATATATATATATATATATATATATATATATATATATATATATATATATATTGTGTGACAAACGTATGGATATTTATAAATATATATATATATATATATATATATATATATATATATATATATATATATATATATATATATATATATATATATATATATATATATATTGTGTGACAAACGTATGGATATTTATAAATATATGTATATATATATATATATATATATATATATATATATTCATGCGCCATACGTGTCGCTATGTGTATCCTATTTGTTTCCATACGTTTGTCGCCGAACGCTGGGTCTGTTATCACATAAGGCCAGTATTGATCCCGAAGATTCCCGTCCATAAAACCAGCAACTAGTGCGGCAAGATTTCCCAGAAAATTCCGATCGTGTGTAGCGTGGATGGATCTAAGCTGACGGTGAAGGGTGGGTGCTGGTGGCAGCACAAAGAACTAGACCGCATCACGTCTTTGTCTTGAGAATCAATGCGCCACTTGACGCTTATCTGGGACCCCGCTTCGGATTTAAAGAAATGGCTTTATTGGAAAATTTTCACACAACACGTTTGTGTTTTGAAAGTTTAATAAATCTCTAACGCTGTGTGGAATAAGTCTCACAGCGAGAAAAAAAAAAATCTTTTAATCGATTATTTGTACTTCCATTTTATAGGAGTAAATCTATACATGCAGGGTGGCGGGAGGTTGGGACAGGGGACAGGGTACAAGGGGGAAGTTATTTAATGATGTTTAGCTTTTTTTTTCTGTAGGCGCTTTAAAACTTACAGTGTGTAACTGGTTGGGGGGGGGGGGGGAGGAGGCAGGTCACGTGTCGTAAGGAGACCCGTTTTTAACTGTGTAACTTTCCAGCCTGTTTTCTTCTCCTCCCTCCCTCCCACCTCCACCACCACCACCACACAGACTTTCTCTATTAGACAGTCGTACCAAGCGTGAACTAGGCTCAAGAAAACAAACATAAATGTAAACAAGTGTATTCAAGCACGTTTTGAATAGACAGTGATAAACAACGATACAGCCCACCTTTTCTTCCCTTCCTACTCCCATAGTAGGCTCTATGGCAGTGGTTCTTTAACTTTTTTGAGGGACCGAACCCCCACCAGTTTCATATGCGCATTCACCGAACCCTTCTTAATAGTTCTATCGGTCCACAACGACTAAATCGTATCGTGAATCACATGAGCTGAGTGTTTGTCTTGACCTCCGCCGAACCCCTGAGACTGAGTCATCGAATCCCTGGGGTTTGATCGAACCCAGGTTAAGAACCATTGCTCTATAGCAAGACAAGTGTTTTATAGTGATATTTTAGTACAGCAACCTTTTGACAGGTTGATGTGTAAACAATGACCTTTTCCCTATGCAACCAAACTTTGTTGATTTAAACTTTAAACACATATATAATCAATTTTTCATACCTGTGCTAACTAATTAATTCGCGCGCGCACCACACATACGCGCACAAAAACACACCGACGTCACCGACGCGCCTAAATGCGCACGGGATGTTCTTACCATTTGTGTTTCAAATGAGTTATAGTCGCTTGTGGCCATCATCGAAGAAATGGCAGGATGTAGTACACAACTAAAGATAGCACTGTTTTACTCAGGACACCTTTGTGGACGTACAGACCAACACAAATGTTCAGACCAACACACCTGTTGTTGACATACAGACCAACACACCTGTTGTTGACATACAGACCAACACACCTGTTGTTGACATACAGACCAACACACCTGTTGTTGACATACAGACCAACACACCTGTTGTAGACATATAGACCAACACACCTGTAGTTGACATACAGACCAACACACCTGTTGTTGACATACAGACCATCACACCTGTTGTAGACATATAGACCAACACACCTGTACAGACCAACACACCTGTTGTTGACATACAGACCAACACACCTGTTGTAGACATATAAACCAACACACCTGTTGTTGACATACAGACCAACACACCTGTTGTTGACATACAAACCAACACACCTGTAGTTGACATACAGACCAACACACCTGTTGTAGACATATAGACCAACACACCTGTTGTTACATACCGACCAACACACCTGATGCTAAATACAGACCAACACACCTGTTGTTGACATACCTGTTGTTGACATACAGACCAACACACCTGCCGCTCTTTTTATATGACAACACAACCTTTGAACATGGTAGATCAACAAACCTGGTACTAACATAACCCAGAAGCTGTTATCTGTCGATCAATAAAGTTTAATCAAGTTTAACGTGTTTTAGTTCAGACAATGAGTACTTTATTAAAACTTTAACTGTTTTCTTATACAACGGCCTCTTCCAATTATGGACGTCAATCTTGTAAAAACACACCACAACACTACAAGGGAACTAACTCTAAAAGTTGACAAACATCCAAGCACAGCAAGGGTACGTAACTCTGGAAGCTGACCAAAAATTAGCCACACTGGATTGTTTCACTTCGCGTTCTCGCATATTCTTGCAGGCTGTATTGATTTGTTGAGAAACTAATTAGTCCGCAGTTTTAATTACCATTTCTGCTTCTGACAAATAACTCATGGATTATATTTTCCAACTTTTTATTCGCTAGCATGTACTCACTGAAAAGATAACCATAGAATTAACAACAAGAATATTTGGACCTTAATAAAATGGACAACAATTACGAAAGACTGATCGCTGAAGTCAAATATTGCCTGCTCATAGTATACAATTATATAAGACAAATAGGGTAGTGGATGGCTAGCCATTTTGTACACGATATAAGATATTCTCAATATGCTAAATTTAGAGTTGTATGATGAGGGGGAGGGGGGGGGGGGGTAGCACGATGAAGTTCGAGTCTTATATAACCTGTGCACAATCCCCTAACTCTAGTAGCACGACGAAGTTCAATTCATATTTACACTACACTTTTACCAGAGGCGCAGCTAAGGGGTGGAGGGTGGGGTGGCAGGAATGAGTCACCTGACAGTTACCGCCCCAACACGCCCGTCCTGCTATTTTAGCTGAGACACCCCGGCTACTTTCCCCAACACGGGCGCCATGTTTCCTCAGAGGCCCACATAACACCCCATCTGTCTGCCCTCAACAAAATACCTCATTACATTGTCTTCAGTATTAAATAATAAAGTTATTAATAACTTGGAAAAACTAACTTCGCTGTATTTTTTTTTAAATGGCGTCGGCGGTGTTTGGGTAAAAACGACTAATGAATCCCATTAAGACTGCAATTATTTTAATTTGAAGAAAAACAAAACCAAGCAAGTCATCATTTACATCACTAATATTCTTTCTGTCGTGATAAATTTCCTTCTTGTAAAAAAAACAACCCATCCATTTTCCAACATTGCTCTGACAATGTTATGAATACCAAACACAGATGTTAAAATTTAGCGAATACATCATCAAAATGGCGGTAAACAGGTGGTGATTTTCGCTAGTGAGCTGACAGCTGGCATTGTATTGTGTTGTAATGAAGTAGGTGTGTGGGTGCAGAGGCGTAGCGCGGGGAGGGCGGCCGCCCCGGGCGCCGACCCTAGGGGGGCGCCAAAAGGGGTTGAAAATAATTTTAAAAGCTCATTTTAAGCTGCAGTTTTTAATTATAAACAGTCAAAGCAGTGGCGTAGTGAGGTCGAATGTCACCCGGTGCGGCACTTAATGGTGTCACCCCCCTCCCCAGAGTCGTAGCGACACGTATTGTGTCGAACTGAAGTAGGTGTGTGGGTGTGTGGGTGGGGGTTAATGTTCCACACGTTTTGTGTCGAACTGAAGTAGGTGTGTGGGTGTGGGGGTCAATGTTCCACACGTTTTGTGTCGTACTGAAGTAGGTGTGTGTGGGTGTGTGTGGGGGTTAATGTTCCACACGTATTGTGTCGTACTGAAGTAGGTGTGTGGGTGTGGGGGTGTGGGGGTCAATGTTCCACACGTATTGTTTCGTACTGAAGTAGGTGTGTGGGTGTGGGGGTGTGGGGGTCAATGTTCCACACGTATTGTTTCGTACTGAAGTAGGTGTGTGGGTGTGGGGGTCAATGTTCCACACGTATTGTGTCGTACTGAAGTAGGTGTGTGGGTGTGGGGGTGTGGGGGTCAATGTTCCGCCCGTTTTGTGTGGTACTGAAGTAGGTGTGTGGGTGTGGGGGTCAATGTTCCGCCCGTTTTGTGTCGTACTGAAGTAGGTGTGTGGGTGTGGGGGTCAATGTTCCACACGTATTGTGTCGTACTGAAGTAGTTGTGTGGGTGTGGGTGTGGGGGTCAATGTTCCACGCGTATTGTGTGGTTCTGAAGTAGGTGTGTGGGTGTGGGGGTCAATGTTCCACACGTTGTTTAAGACAAGTCTCACTAGATCTCACACTATATCCTGCTCACTGGATTTTAATGTCACCTGAAGAGAACGTTTTACTGCAGGCTACAGGCGCCACGTTGCACTGAATCTCACTTGAAGTAATTGTTTAATAATGTTTTTTTTTACCTCACAGTCTCACTGTAAAGAGTAGCAAAATGGGGGGGGGGGGGGTCATGGGCTGAAAACAAAGGGCCTCATATTCATAAAATGTGTTGCCTACTTGTTCGTCTACTTGCGCATTGACTGTAATGATTACATAAAGATAATTGCGCCTGAATATTTCTACCTATTTTCTACCTATTTCTGGCGCTCTTTACCTTATAATCATTTATTTATAAACTATCAATCTTAGAGCTGCTTAGGTAGCTCCACCCTCCAACTGCTTTCTTGTTTGGTTATCTCACCAAGACTCACTTTTAAGTCGTGTTATACCACCGTTGTTAGACTACTTGTAGCCAAGTCTCACTAAGACTCACTTTCAAGTCGTGTGATACTACCGTTGTTAGACTACTTGTAGCCAAGTTTCATTAGATTTCACTTTTTTTTTTATCATTTTGAAAGTGGGTTTAAATTCGCTTATCACATTAGTTAGGCAATTGTTTAAAAATAAACACACCAATTAATTATTGTTATTTTTTAATCCGAGAACCACATTCAAACTATTAGACAAACAATGATTTCAATACGTAACGTATCTATAAAATATTAAACCTTTATTCCGTTCATAAAAACAACAACTATATACACGATATGACCAAAACAATGTCATCAAGTCAAACTGTTGGAATAACTAGGGTGTGAGGGGAGGGGGTGAGTCCTACCAACTATCAAGTGTCTCTCAGTTAAGAGTAGTTGAATAATGAACAAACGCACGTGACCCTACAAAATTAGGCGGTTACATGAAGCAGGTGCTGGTGTAGACTGGAACTAAAGCTACCACTCCATCGTACCCCAGTTCTGTCGGTTTAAAATCTTTCAGAAGTTGCTGTTTGGACAACTAATGGTCCAAATAAAACAGAATGTACCCACGAAATCAATTCAGGTTTAACAAACCAGTGGTGCCCCAAAGTAACCCTACAGCGAGTTGGCCGTAACATTAGGAATGTATCCTTTTTGTGCACGGCGTCATCTAGTAAACAAAATATCCACGACATCTGACCAAATGATCTGCATTATTTGATGGGTATTCACCTGCTTTACTGCACCTATCCTTATTTCTCTGGTGTGAGATTAGCGGCACATACAATGCTATCAAATCAGACAGATTATACATCAAGCGGTTTTAGAAAGCTCTAGACTTTCTCTATCTACCAGCTCTACGTCCTCTACACACCTCTGCAAAACTTTGTCGATGGCGACTGCCTTGCTGACTCATCACAAAACTATCCCTTACCTAGACACGCTACTGAAATTACGTAAGCTTTTAAAATACCTGTACTACTACCTTAGACGATCCACTTTTGTGCATTGTAAAAAAAATACGATCGTACCCTTTTCAGAGTAAACCTAATTGTGTATTTTATGTGAATGGGACAACATTTTAATTTGTTCAGTTCAGTCAGAGCAGGGAAAAAACAACTCTGTACCCAAATAACAAAATCCTATCTATGTCACTCTAGTGAACTATGGCATTATGTTTATGAAATGTTTCCAAACAATAAAAGTTCGTATCAAACACTTTAACTAACTAAGTGCCAGATTTTCGGAAATCTCGCAAGATCTAAACGATTTTAATTATTTTGGCACCACGATCCCAGGCACCTCACAAAATCCAGATCTCAGCTGATCACACGCCACGTCGTTGAAAAGGAACCGGAATTCGGACTTGATCTCCGTGCAGTTCTCGTTCGGCCCGGGGGACTGGTCTGGTTGTCCGGACGCCCAGTAGCCGGGGCTGACCACACTGGACAAGTTGCTCATCCAGGAGAACACCCGATTTAACTTGTTGGTGATGATGGCACCCATCCAGTAAGCGACGCCAGCACTGCCTAAAAAAAGTAAATATGAAAATAACCAAATTCGTAAGACGTACTCGAGTCAAATCAAGCGATCTTAGAATTTAAAGCCGTTTTTTCCCGAGATGCGCATTCTAGATATTTTACACTCTTAAAAAGTAACAAATGTAAAGAACCTTATCAGATCTGTCATTGGGCTAGTTATATTCCCTCAGTGTATGAAAGGATTTAGTTTTCACCACAAAATCCCATCCGCCTTTCCCTGACTCGTGCTTAAGTACCCATCAGAGGTGGTAGGACTAAGGACGTCCTACGGTCACGTACCCATCAAAGGTGGTAGGACTAAGGACGTCCTACGGTCACGTACCCATCAAAGTTGGTAGGACTAAGGACGTCCTACGGTCACGTACCCATCAAAGGTGGTAGGACTAAGGACGTCCTACGGTCACGTACCCATCAAAGGTGGTAGGACTAAGGACGTCCTACGGTCACGTACCCATCAAAGGTGGTAGGACTAAGGACGTCCTACGGTCACGTACCCATCAAAGGTGGTAGGACTAAGGACGTCCTACGGTCACGTAATCATCAAAGGTGGTAGGACTAAGGACGTCCTACGGTCACGTACCCATCAAAGGTGGTAGGACTAAGGACGTCCTACGGTCACGTACCCATCAAAGGTGGTAGGACTAAGGACGTCCTACGGTCACGTACCCATCAAAGGTGGTAGGACTAAGGACGTCCTACGGTCACGTACCCATCAAAGGTGGTAGGACTAAGGACGTCCTACGGTCACGTACCCATCAAAGGTGGTAGGACTAAGGACGTCCTACGGTCACGTACCCATCAAAGGTGGTAGGACTAAGGACGTCCTACGGTCACGTACCCATCAAAGGTGGTAGGACTAAGGACGTCCTATGGTCACGTACCCATCAAAGGTGGTAGGACTAAGGACGTCCTATGGTCACGTACCCATCAAAGGTGGTAGGACTAAGGACGTCCTATGGTCAGCTACCCATCAGAGGTGGTAGGACTAAGGACGTCCTACGGTCACGTACCCATCAAAGGTGGTAGGACTAAGGACGTCCTATGGTCAGCTATCCATCAGAGGTGGTAGGACTAAGGACGTCCTATGGTCAGCTACCCATCAGAGGTGGTAGGACTAAGGACGTCCCATGGTCAGGTACCCATCAGAGGTGGTAGGACTAAGGACGTCCCATGGTCAGGTACCCATCAGAGGTGGTAGGACTAAGGACGTCCTACGGTCACGTACCCATCAAAGGTGGTAGGACTAAAGACGTCCTATGGTCAGGTACCCATCAAAGGTGGTAGGACTAAGGACGTCCTACGGTCACGTACCCATCAAAGGTGGTAGGACTAAAGACGTCCTATGGTCAGGTACCCATCAAAGGTGGTAGGACTAAGGACGTCCTACGGTCACGTACCCATCAAAGGTGGTAGGACTAAGGACGTCCTACGGTCACGTACCCATCAAAGGTGGTAGGACTAAGGACGTCCTACGGTCACGTACCCATCAAAGGTGGTAGGACTAAAGACGTCCTATGGTCATGTACCCATCAGAGGTGGTAGGATTAAGGGGTAAACATGGAAATAGTCGTGATCTACCGTTCAACTGTACCTTTTATACACACCCAAACCAATGTGACACCATACACAACACCCAATATGGCACCCACACAATGCTCCCCACAATGTAACAACTCACAAAACCCCACCCCAATGTGGTACTCCAACCCCACCCCAAAGTGACACCCCACATAACCCCACCCCAATATGGCATCCCAAACAACCCCACTCCAATGTAACACCTCACACAACGACCCCCACAACGACCCCCATAACGACCCCCACAATGTAATACCCCACAGAACAACCCCCACAATGTAACACCCCACACAACGATCCCCACAACGTAACACCCCACACAACGCTCCCCACAATGTAACACCCCACACAACGCTACACACAACGTAACACCCCACACAACGCTCCCCACAACGTAACACCCCACACTCACCATCCCTGGCCAGGAAAAAAGCGCTGAAAAAGTTGAGCTCATCCAGGGAGGAGAACTCCGTCAGACGACCCCCCACAGATCTACACGTCATCACCAGGTTGTCCCTGAGGGTTAGGCTGCTGTTGTACATGACGCACTTGTTGAACCGTTTGACGTACGAGAACCTGCAGCCTGCAGTAGACAGGCGGGGACAACAGATCGTTTAACGCGATACACTGTCGCAGTCATACATTCATTCAGTACCGTCATAGGTCCAGTCATGGGCGCCTTCAGTACAGTCATAGGTCCAGTCATGGGCGCCTTCAGTACAGTTATAGGTCCAGTCATGGGCGCCTTCAGTAAAGTCATAGGAACAGTCATGGGTGCCTTCAGTTCAGTTATAGGCTCAGTCATAGGTCCAGTCATGGGCGCCTTCAGTTCAGTCATGGGCGCCTTCAGTATATTCATAGGCACAGTCATGCAACATATATGTCTACCGAAACATGTATGTGTAATTGTGTTCGTATAATAAAACATGTTCGTCTGTCTAAATGTGTACGTTTAATGAAGTATATACTTCTAAAAAAGCATGGACGCTTTACTACCATGTTCATCCATAGAAAAATACATCTTATCATTTTGTTCGCCTAATGAAACATCTGCATCTAATGAAGCATGTTCGACTAATGAAACATGTTCGACTAATGAAGCATGTTCGAGTAATGAAGCATGTTCGACTAATGAATCATGTTCGACTAATGAAACATGTTCTGCTAATGAAGCATGTTCGACTAATGAAACATGTTCTACTAATGAAACGTTTGACTAATGAAACATGTTCGACTAATGAGACATGTTCTACTAATGAAACGTTTGACTAATGAAGCATGTTCGAATAATGAAGCATGTTCGATTAATGAAGCATGTTCGACTAATGAAACATTTTCGACTAATGAAGCATGTTCGACAAATAAAACATGTTCGACTAATGAAACTTGTTCGACTAATAAATCATGTTCGACTAATGAAACATGTTCGACTACTGAAACGTGTTCGACGAATGAAACGTGCACGCTTTACAAACAAGTCTAGCATCAAATCAGAGGAAAAGAAAGACAAGGCACCGCATAGGCCGATACGTACTGGTCTTGATGTAAAATATCTGCCACTGGCTCGTCACGGCTGCCCTGACTGGGTACGGGGTGCGAGGGTAGTCCATCCCATAGAGGGCGCACTTTCTGCTGGGGGCGCTGTAGAGGAACATGGTGCAGTTCTCGTGCCGGTCACAGCTCCAGCCACAGGACATCCGGCTTCTGTTGGTCTGTATGGGCGCTAGCTGGACCACGTCCTTGGTGTTGGCGGCTTCTGCTGTCAGCTGCTCATAGTAGACACCGCTAGGGAGGGTTAATAAAGTACAGCATCGTTGGATGAGGCATAGATGGGTTAACGTACAGCATCATTTGATGGCATTGTAACAGATGAAGGTATATAATAGGTGGGCTGTAGCAACAGACAAAGCAGAGGCGTCGCGAGGCGGGGGCGGGGGATGCGGGCCGCATCGGGGACACCATTTAGAGGGGTGACACCAAGACAAAAAAAGTAGCAAAGTATATAGAATAAATATGCCAGTTCAATGAATGGTTAATTAGAGGTACAAAGTAATTTAAGTACATATTTACTATCCCGACGGGGGGGGGGGGGGGGTGATACCATGACCTGAAAATGCAAACTGTAGAGAAAACAATGTTACATCCAGCTTTGTTAATAACTCACTGTAGATAAATACCGTTTGTAATAACTGTGAATACTTCAAAGCTATTACCAGGGCGGGATGGGGGGGGGGGGGGGTGATACTAAATGCAAAATTTATAGGTGGATTAAAATAATTTTTGCACATATGGACATCATTTGCCAAAATCTGAAGGAGGTGTCACCAATTGCAACTATATAGATAGGCCTTCGTAGGTGCATATATATATATATATATATATATATATATATATATATATATATATATATATATATATATATATATAGCCTTTATATATCCAATACGTTTTCTTCTGTAATGGTGTGGGGCCTGAGGGGGGGGGGTGAAACCATGAGGTGTCGCACCGGGCGACACCCGACCTAGTGACGCCACTGAGAAAAAGTGAAGGTATATTATGCGGGCCATAGAAGCAGTTTAAAGTGACCCTACAGTTTCACCAAATCGCAGACATTTCCTTACCTAGTTAGTGAGATCATGATGGTCAACACCAAACCACAAATGGATGACGTCACGACTGTATTGTACGTTAGTAGAGGCATCTTTCCCCCTTCAAAGTGGATACCACAGTCAAAGGTTAAAACCGTGTGGATATCACAAAGGTTAAAGACCACGTCACAGCGACGGTCTTTAAGTCAACAATTTATCACAACCGAAAGTAGTTGTTTTTTTAAAGCAACAACACAACTATCTAATACATTGTAAAGGGTTATTATGAGCTTTTTTTTTCAACCCTTATCGGTTTAAAACTAAACTTGTAACGGATCATATATTCCAAGAAGTCACGAACCTAAAAATGAAAAATCAAATCTCTGAAACACATTAAATACAAAATTTTCGAAAAAAACAAACACTCTCTGTTCCATTTACTTGGCACACCACATTTTATATTTCTGATTAGAATTTCGAAATCTTTAAATAAACCATTTGTTAGGTTTCAAACACAATAAGCAGTTTTCAAAGTTTATATTTTTGGATTTTTCAGGAAAAAAACAAATTCTGACAGAAGAGATCCACAAAATGTAGAGAGTAGTAAGACCAAAATAAACTCCTGCGGCACTGCTGTTACTATGAAAACAATAAAACATTACTGAATTTCGAGCCCAAAGTTTAGCGGGACGAGGGTTGAACTGCGAGCTCGGTCAAGGTATAAAAATACCATAACTGTTGATTTAAGATAGTTTAAAGAGAAATTGATAGTCTGAAATTAAAAAAAAAAACTTTTACGCGTGGAGGTATTGATGAGGCACCTGATTGCTGTTTGCTGATCTAGCTATCAATTGATAGATTCTAAAATAATTAGAAAGGTGTCGTCTGCACTCTATTGTACGTTGTTAATCAGATGGAATGGTAAAATGCTGGGGGGGGGGATGTGATAGGCGAGACAGTGATCAAAAGAGAAATGCAGTGATCAGTATGGATCATCTTGTGTATATTGTTGAACTAAATACCGAGTAGAGGATGCTCAGTGGGCAGCTCCATTTTGAATTCCCATGGAATGTGCAACTTTTTTTTTTCCACTGAGACTTCCGGTAAATATCCCACGTGATAAGGTTCACATTTTTACAGTCATTACCATTTTTGGAAATTCTGATTTAAACTTAAAAACTAAAAGTACGGCTTGATTGGATGCTTATATTGGTTAGAAATAAATTCCGGTACTATCGACAAGGCACCTAGGTAGATGAAAACGTGCACTATAGGAGTTGAACGATCGCTGATCAAAGGCTGAATCAATGAGAAAACATTGAACAGAAATTCGAGTAGGTCTACCGAGTTGTATTTGACCAACAAACCAAACATTCAATTTTCTGTATTGTACACCCCTTTAAGGGCTGTTTTACTACTTCCCAGTGTCAAACTATTGCCTGTAACACTCGAAGAACTTAACACGTCAAGAATCATACTCGATGTGCCCAGAGAAGGTTGAGTAAACTTGCTATCCCCGTGGCGTGTGCTCATATCTGCTCTCATACTCTCAAGTTTTTTTAAACAGTTGTGTACACAACAATTTCTAAACAGTTTTAACAGTTTCTAAACAGTTTTAAAAGTTTCTAAACATTTTTAAAAGTTTCTAAACAGTTTTAAAATTTTAAACAGTTTTTTAACAGTTTTGTGATTGTAACTGTTGTTGTAACCAGTCGGAACTGACAGTTATTTTTAAAATCCCACTTAAAGAGTTTTCAGGAAATGTCTTTAAATGCAGATTCCGTTTTTTTTAATATTACAAAACTGTTATTTAACAAAGCGTGGCAAAAGTACCCGTCACAAACTCAATAAATAAGAACTGACTGAGCCCCAAATGATAGCCTGACTAGGAAAAATAAAGAACAAAATAGTAAAGAAGTTAAGGAGCACTATACGATGCGTAGTGGTATTGAGGCTTGAAACGCAGGGGTGGGGGAGAATCGGGTATTAAACATTGGGGTGGGGGAGATCAGGTGTTAAACTTTGTGGGGTGATCAGGTGTTAAACTTCGTGGGAAGATCAGGTGTTAAACCTAGTAACAAAACGAAGTGATCGATTCAATCAATTCATTTCGATTTTGTGGCACGTGTAGGATGGTGTACGACATATTTATTCAAGATACAGTTCTAGAAACTTCCTACAGCCCGATAGTTTTCTTGATTAAAATAAACACAATCAGCTCATTATAAACGCTGCACTGTGTGTACTTGTGTTTTCTTTACTGTGTGTGTGTGTGTGTGAGTGTATGTATGTATGTGTGAGTGTGTGTGTGTGTTTGCTTTTCTTCTAGTGCATGTTTGTATATGTTTGTGCGATAGTTATCAACGACAGTAGTTTGTGAGAAATGGATTAGTTTTTATTCTGTTAGTATTAGAATGATAGTTTGGGAAAAAAGTTTAAAAAATAAGCAGTACTACAACTGATCAGAATGACCATGAAGTACAGATTTAAAAAAAAAAAAACAGTTTTTAACGAAACCAAATTGGAATCGATCGATAAGGAAAAGGCCATTGAATTAAAAGCTTTCTCAAAACAAAACAAAAATAAACCGGGAGTGATCTCCCCTAAACTTTCTCGAATATTCTTATATAAAATAACAGAGGATGGGAACTCGGGCTATAGACATGATTTTTAATCCATTTTAAATACTTAAAGTTTTAAAAATAGAATAAAATCTCGTAGACAAATTAATTGCACACCAAGTGAACGCCAAATAAAAAAGCGCATAATAGGGCGCAATATTATTAGTACTTTTAAAATTTACATTAGTTTTTTGAGAAATCGGAAGTAGCTTAAAGTACTACTTCCAGTCAACGGAAATTACTCAAAATTTAACAGAAGGTAGAGAATTAGATCTTTTACTTACATGTGAAATTTCATTTACCTATCTGAAATAGTACTCAAGTTATAGGCTTTTGAAAAATTCAAAGTAGGAAAAGTACCACTTCCGGTTATCGGAAATCGCTCAAAAGTTGATACGGATCTACGATTTTGATTAAATACTTATATATGAAATTTCATCAACCTATCTGTAACGGTACTCAAGTTATCGTGTTTACACACGGACAGACAGACACACAGACACACAGACAGACACACAGACATACGGACAAGATTGCAAAATTATGTTTTTCCGTATCAGTGAGGTGTAAAACGACGAGATTTGTAAAAATCTCGATTTTTTTTTTTTGCACGATTACAATACTTTCTCTATACTTCGTATATACGAGAAAGTAAAAATGTAAAATTCGTAAAACAAATCTTTTCACTGTGAACGAGTATGGATAATATTTAATGATTTTTGCTAATTAGCTCGTTTTTTTCCAGGTAGTCTTAAATTAGTAAAATAACCATTATAAAATATTTTAAAAAGTTATCAATTACAATGTTTAAGTACGTTACACGAAAAATTGAGAGGGTTTCCGTCAGTTTATTTACAATATGGGTTATATAGTATGAGGTGATGAGGTTGGATGGATTTAAAATGATTGAAATTAAATTTTAGGAATAGCAGTGTGACTCATAAATGATCATGAAGGAAATATTGATCGGTCTTTTAGTAAGTGCATTTTAAGCCGTATCTCTGTCTTGTGCATAGTTTTGTATGAGTAAATCATTTGTTAATTGAAATATTTGGGCCTATAGTAAACCACAAAGCCCGGGAAAGTTCCAGCAAGTTTCATTAACTAGTTCTTTAAAAAAGATGAATTACACAATGACAAAGTCATGCACAATTTTGGCTTGACGATTGTCATTATTTTTCCAATAATGTCACAAAATGATTTTTTTTTTCTTGTAGCCTAGGCGACGGAAGGATCTAGATCACACAATAACGTTTCTATAATGTGTGGCACTAATGTTCAAGGCACCTAGATCATATAGTATAGAGAAGATCTAGATCACATCACAACGTTTCTATAATGTGTAGCATTAATCTTCAAGGCACCTAGATCATATAGTATAGAGAAGATCTAGATCACATCACAACGTTTCTATAATGTGTAGCATTAATCTTCAAGGCACCTAGATCATATAGTATAGAGAAGATCTAGATCACATCACAACGTTTCTATAATGTGTAGCATTAATCTTCAAGGCACCTAGATCATATAGTATAGAGAAGATCTAGATGACACAACGTTTCTGTAATGTGTGGCACTAATCTTCAAGGCACCTAGATCATATGGTATAGAGAAGATCTAGATGACACAACGTTTCTATAATGTGTAGCATTAATCTTCAAGGCACCTAGATCATATAGTATAGAGAAGATCTAGATGACATAACGTTTCTGTAATGTGTGGCATTAATCTTCAAGGCACCTAGATCATATAGTATAGAGAAGATCTAGATGACACAACGTTTCTATAATGTGTAGCATTAATCTTCAAGGCACCTAGATCATATAGTATAGAGAAGATCTAGATCACATCACAACGTTTCTGTAATGTGTAGCATTAATCTACAAGGCACCTAGATCATATAGTATAGAGAAGATCTAGATCACATAACAACGTTTCTGTAATGTGTAGCATTAATCTACAAGGCACCTAGATCATATAGTATAGAGAAGATCTAGATGACATAACAACGTTTCTGTAATGTGTGTCAGTAAACTTTAAGGCACCTAGATCATATAGTTTAGAGAAGATCTAGATCACATCACAACGTTTCTATAATGTGTAGCATTAATCTTCAAGGCACCTAGATCATATAGTTTAGAGAAGATCTAGATCACATCACAACGTTTCTGTAATGTGTAGCATTATTCTTCAAGGTACCTAGATCATATAGTATAGAGAAGATCTAGATCACATAACAACGTTTCTGTAATGTGTAGCATTAATCTTCAAGGCACCTAGATCATATAGTATAGAGAAGATCTAGATCACATAATAACGTTTCTGTAATGTGTAGCATTAATCTTCAAGGTACCTAGATCATATAGTATAGAGAAGATCTAGATCACATAACAACGTTTCTGTAATGTGTAGCATTAATCTTCAAGGCA